GGGGGGGAGAATCAACATTATGTTGGTCCCTTTAAGTACTATGGCCAAGAAGGATCACCATCTCAATGCTTTTATTTAAAAAGAGGTGGAATTTCTTCGGTGGGGGTGGAAGTTGTCAGTATTGTATTTTTTCTGAGGGCTTTGGTATACATTGCAACAACGAAATGCTTTTTAAAAAAGCTGTTCTGTTATGTTGTACACTCTATGTTTCATAGGGACATTCCTTTACCATAGTTGGTAAATTCCAATGTGTCCAATCTGGTTCAGAATCTAGATTGTCTGGAAAGTTTTCAAGTCCTTTACACTCCTTTTAGCATTTTGTACTAATTGGAGATGGATGTTCATTTTAGAAATGCCACCATTAATGCACTGCTTGAAACTATCCCCCAGGCTGTGCATGTGATCTGTGTGGGTGAGGGCCCTGTGGTGCATGTCAGCCCTCTCGACATAGACTGGGGAGATGTGGCCGTGCTCCGCGACAATGAGAAAACTGTCGTCCTCTCCAATGAGTCCTTCATTCCTGCCAAATTCACAGCTCACATGGTAAGTGTACTGTTCATTTGAACAAAATGTTGATAGGGTGTAACATTTCTGACAAGGATATTTTGCAAACAAGCCCTCACTGCCTCTTGAATTGTTTAGTCCCCCCTTGCCAAACCTCCCTGCTGCTTACATTTGGATTAAACAAAAATTATTCCCTTTTTTTCTTAATTATGTTTTGGCATCTTTTTGCGTACCTCCAGACTTACTCTGCGCTTGTACCACAAACCTCAACTCTGCATCGATGGCTGATAGAGCTCTGATCGAGGTCTGCTCCCTCTGTTTCTTCTTAGTTCCAAATTAGTACCTGGTGAATATTAAATGTTAAATGCAACTTATAATCAACCCCCCCTCCCCCCCTCTCTCTCTCTCTCTCTCTCTCTCTCTCTCTCTCTCTCTCTCTCTCTCTCTCTCTCTCCTCTGCTTTCCTTTTGCTTAGGCCTTGATCACATTTTGGCCGTTTCAGAATTTATGTGAAGAAGAAATTGTCACTTGCGATTCTTAATTTCTTTTAGTTGTAAGTTCAGAGATTGATCATTCTAATTCTGAACATGAACTTTTATAATGTTTTATAGAAATAGAAAAAAACAATTGTAGCATTTTCAAGTTTCTGCTACAGTAAGTATTTCTGCCTTTCTTTTGCAGCTGAGACCTAACGCAGTGTTCAGAGTTAGTCCTTCAGAAGGTGAAATCCCTCCTGAGAATTCCATGAAGCTGACTGTGACAGCAAATTTGGACGACTGTGTCAGGTGACCTCACTTGACCTCACTTGTTTTTGTGTCGTTGCTCAGTTGAAACTGTCTGACAGTTAGTTTATTTGTATATGTACATGAGTGTGTTGTGTGTAAACAAAGTACTGTAGTTAAAGTATCTATCTTTGGTATTATGAACTTATTGTATTTTTTTTTCACAGTTTGATGCTTATCTGTTTTGTTTTGTGTACGGATGCGCATTGTTAAGATGCTGAACTAAATTTAAATGGGATTTTTAACGTTAGTTTTTCCTTTGTGGTCTATCTCTATGCAATACCATTAGCCAATAAATTAATGTTATTCTGCTATTTAGATTTGTCAGCATGCTCAAAGAAAAAAGATTTATTACCTTTTAAATACTGGTATGTTGTGTTTTCCTTTTGCATTTTTTTGTTTCTGCTCTTTTCATTAAACATTTTTGTATAGGGTCCTTTTACTGCTATTTTTAAAACCGTTATGTTCTTTTCCCCTTTAGATTTCAGGATAAGCTGCAGATCAACTTCCTGGAGAGTCAAGCGAGGCTGATTCCTCTCCAGGCGTACGGGAAAGGAACAACCATCGTGTCTGATCCCCCGCTTGGACCTGTCCTGGATCTGGGACCAAACTTCAGGTGCACAGACTGTTGCCTCTTTGAATAGACAACCCTTTTCATAGTAAAACTTGATACAGTGGAAATTGTCTACCCATTGTTGAGGAGAAAAGTGGTTGTCTTAGACTGGTGGATGTCTTAGGGAGCATCCTTACAATCTTTTTTCTAAACCAAGGGAAAGAGGGAAGTGTTCATTTGTACAGGTGATTTGCTTGGACAGGTGGTCTTTAGAACAGGTTCAACTGTACTTGGATTGCAAAATCAGCCAACTGTGCAAACTTGTGATCTGATCATAAACAGATAGGTCTCAACTAGTATTTGGTAGATGAAATAAATGTGAAACGTAATCTGTTGAAGATCTTTTTTTTTTTTGAAAGGTAGAAATCCTTTATAGAATCTGTGGTTTTTTTCCCCCAAATCTTTTGTTTCTTTCACTACATTGTTCTGAGTGCTGATGCTAAGTGATGGGAATAAAGGTTTTCTTTAATATTTGTTTCATCTTAGCAGAACTGGAAACCCTGCTTATCAAATGCTCAAGCTGATTAGTCTCACATTTGAGCTACTTTAGAATTGAGAAGCCAAAATGAAATATTCTTGCTATAGATGCATTGTAATATGATACAATTAAGTAAGTCGTAGTCGACTTGTCTTGTCCAAATAATTACTCCCTTTTCCCTCATTCTAATCAGTATCTTTATGAAATGGGATTCACAATTAAGTTTGCATTAATTCATATGCTAAGCAGGAATTTGTTGTTTCACCGATAGGGAACATTTCTGTGCCGGAAAATTTCAATATAACATTTTCTTATGCAAAGAAAATCTCATTTCTTTCCCCTGTTAATCACAAATCATAAGTAATTTTAAAATTATTTCATTTCTTTTCCAGCAACCGCCAGTTGACAAAGACGTTCAAACTGACCAACAGGGGCCGCCGCCTACAGCAGTTGGTGTGGCTGACAGACGGCTACATCCCTCTGTCCAAAGCAAAGAAAGAGAAGCTGAGAGCCAGCGTACCCCCAAACGTAAGAAGCAAGGCTGCCAGTTTTGTGGATTTGCTTCATTTTTATACTTTTTTTTTAAATTTTGAAAAAGGATCACTTTTCCTTCAGCCTTTCCTCCTGTGGTTTCAAGCATAAAAAAAAGTAGACCTCTTATGATGGTGGACTTTTACATTTGAACATCTGTATACTTCCATTGGTGTATTTCCTTTGCCTTTTCTTTTTCTTTTTCCTTCTTCTTTCCTCCAAACAGAGAGCCAAGTATTCTGCATTCGAAATTTGTTTATTTTTGCTTATTTAAAACAATAATAACCTTTTATCTCAAAAGGTTTCAATTCTTACTCTGGTCCTCTTATTTCCTCATTAAAGTAAAACTTTATATTTGCAGTGGACAAGCGAACAGATCAAGTCGACTTCTTTCATACTGCTCTTGAACTTTTACTTGTCTTGGAACTTGTTATCCATAGCTAGATATTTGTAGCCGCATTGGTCACTGTCTGTGTTCAGTGTCCCTATTCTATCTAATTGGTGTAAATGAGCCTTTGTTTCTTATTGCTATTTATAGAAGAACACACCTGCGCTGGACAAGCCCTCACCAATCTTCCAGTTGACTCCGAACCGCATGGAGCTCCGTCCAGGAGAGTCCGTGGACTTCAATATCGAGGGATTTGTGAATGGGTACGTTGAGTGTTTTTGTTATAAAAAGCAACATTGTTGGGGTCTTTTAAAGCAATTTTTTGTGTGTGTCATGAGCTCCTTTTTCAGGTGCCATGTTAATGATCTTATACGTATCAGGCAAGCATTCACTATGAGAATGTGAGTAAGTAAACGCAATGATTATTTCAACAACAAAAGGAAACAAAAAACCATTTTATTATTAGCATACAGGTCTAATTGTTGGTAATGAGTTATTCTTCTTTTAGTTGTTTTTTTGCCTTGTTGTCTTTGGAACAAGTTTGGAAATTTTGCTATAGTGAGATTCTTTTTACTAATGTTCCAATTGAGTTGTAAGTTGATGGACGTGCAATAAAGAATTTTGTGAATTCAGGTCCCAGTTGTATCGAGTTTGATTTTGGTATCATTAGGAAAATTACTTTACCCCAATTTTCTCAATTCCCCCAGGTAGAAATAGAGTACGTGATTACTAATAGAGATAGAGTGTGTAAATAATTGCAGTATCTAAGTAACAGGATGCAACATTATATGTCTCACAAGGAATGAAAAGGTAGATCAGATAGAATAGGCGTGTCGAGTGAGTTAATGTGAATTTATGTTAGTCTTTTGGGGATACTTGATTATAAGGAAACATTTTAGCTTTCAAGATGTTTTAAGCTTTCACTGCACAAAGCAGAGATATATTAATGTTTTCCGTTGTTTTGCTCATTTTTAGAAATGTGGCACGATATAATGAACTTTCCTTGCCATGCTTTAAAGATTCGGAAATTCAGTCTGAAATGGACAAAATCTGATGACCTGTTTCCTCCCATCAGTCCTCAGAGTGTGGAGGAGACCATTGTGTGTCACGCTATCATCGGCCGGGCAGGTGGAAAGATCCCCATTATCAGTGTGGATATCAAGGCAGACTTCATCGAGCCTTTGCTTAACTTCTCCACCAAGTGTGCCTTCTTCAGGGTAGACAAGGTATGTGTTGTCTTCATCATCACACTACGCTACCTCAGGGTAGACAAGGTATGTGTTGTCTTCATCATCACACTACGCTTCTTCAGGGTAGACAAGGTATGTGTTGTCTTCATCATAACACGATGCTTCTTCAGGGTAGACAAGGTATGTGTTGTCTTCATCATCACACTACGCTACCTCAGGGTAGACAAGGTATATGTTGTCTTCATCATCGCACTACGCAACCTCAGGGTAGACAAGGTATATGTTGTCTTCATCATCGCACTACGCTACCTCAGTGTAAAGTTACCTGGCGGTTCGATGAGTCGTGTCTGTCAGGGGACCCCCGTCCAAGATAAGTGTTGCCTCGTCGTGGTCCTGAGTCCGACTGAATACCTCAGTGAGTCTCTCAGACGATGTCTCTCTATTTTGCGCCGGACTCTTGACGTCATCCAAGGGCGTGCCACTCCCCTAATAATCATGTCCCCACAGTAAAGATAAGAGTCATGTCCCTTGACATCACACCTCAGAATTACAAAGTTCTTCTATCTCTCGATACCCAGTTATGAGAAATTCGACGTCAGTATTTTTTAGTTTCACAATATGTCAAGCTTTTTCGAATTCAATTCTTTGAGTATCTTGACAACGAATCAGAATACTCTTACAATTTTGATAGAGCGAATAAAGCATTTGTGAGGCAGCGTGGTGGAATCAGGCTCTCGTCAAATAATTAAAAGTGAAGAAACTTGCTTTTTTCTGTTTTTTTGGTGAATTTTTATCAAATTTTTTATTTTTGGGGTCAACACCTTTCATGCCCATTAAAGAACTCATTTCTGTGTGGATTTTTCTGAAAAATGTTTGTTAAAGGCTCAAAGGATGTAAATTTTCAGTTACCACGGACTCTTAAGCAAAGGAAATAACTAATCTTTGGCTGCCGTTTTCTCACTAATTTTACCTCTGAAAACAGGTGACCCCCACATCCTTCATTCGCAAATATCTTGACTTGTATTCAAGATAAATGGATATTTTTTTCTTACAAATAAACACAAAAGAACAAGCTTTACGATAATACCAATAACTCTAAATACCCAAAAATTGACGAGAGCCTGATTCAACCACGCTGCCTCACATTTTTTTTCTGACCCCATGGTATAAGTAACTCTAAACCGCCAAAAATGTCGGATAAAACTGTGTAATTCTGAGGTAGTGACTAGGTGTATCCAGTTGAATCTTATTATACTTGTGATGTATATTTTAGCTGATCATGAGATCTGAGGCAGTGACTAGGTGTATCCAGTTGAATCTTATTATACTTGTGATGTATATTTTAGCTGATCATGAGAATACTGCTTGATGTAAAAGTTTGAATCTCAATATCTGGTGTAATGCTGTAATGGCTGTGGCAAGCAAAAGGGATGTTAGTGAGTGGTTGGCAGGTGCTCTGGTGTGATTTTCTTTGTCTCTCCTATCAAACATCTGTCATCCTGATCTATCCTCCTTCTTTTTTGTGTTTGTTACTCCCGTTTAACACCTCTAATCTTTGGCACCTATATGACCTTATTGTGTTGCAAGTGCAGTAAAATTCTTATCAAAACTAAATGGATGCTAGTTCAAATTAGCATGTTGCTTTCCTCATAATAAAATTGTTAAAAAATTTTAATGTAGAATTTGTAGAGCATTCAAATTGCATGATTATTGCTCTGTACTTCTACAATTTTTTTTTCAGTTCAGTGTGCTCCTGTGGTTTCTGTATATGCAAATTGATCTTTTTCAACCCCTTTCGAAATACATTAATGAATTGATGGTTTCTGCCTCTTTGAAAGGGTGGTGGGAGGCCACCTTTGGTACACCCTTCTTCTTTTCTCTCCCTGTGTTGGTTCTGTTTATCTGTCTTACTTTTTCTCCACACTTAACCCTATCCGTACGTCATGGTTTACTATTGTATCCATACAACGTGGGGAACTCTGTGCCACCACTTAACCCTATCCGTACGCCATGGTTTACTATTGTATCCATACAACGTAGGGAACTCTGTGCCCCCACTTTCCAAATAGGAAATTTACTCGTTAATCCGATACATACGCTTTGCATAGTAGTCTGTCAAAATGATTTTTTGAGAAATTCTGAAAGTTTCAAAGAGATCTTCGCACTAGAAGTATTCTGGAATGTGAAGAATACAGCCCCGGGGGTACAAAATGACCCCAGGGCGTACGGGTAGGGTTAATGATCATTGCTGTGTTGATAATCTTCTTCTCTTTCCTAACACACAAACAAAACAAGCCTCTGTGATACCCTTCCTATGACAGAACTGTTTATGAATGAGTGTTTGCAAACCCCCTGACAGGAGCCTGACGATGAGCTCAAAGTGGAGCAGAAGCAGCTGGTGATGAACAATGTGAGCAGCTTGACACTGACTGTGGGCCTACAGCTGGCCAGTCCCTTCAGCATGATCATTGGAGACGAGAAAGTCTCAGAGACGGTAAGAGCTCGACTTGACTGCTGCATGAAATATCTCATTTTGCTCATTATTATGGATTTCTTCAACGACTTTTTGTCCCTTGACACTTTGCCTCCACAAGGCTCATATAGTATAAAGTCTTGTCCTCAAAGGCAGAGGCATTTTAGGGAAAATAAGAAAAAACTGCATTGTAAACATCGCCGATCGGTGAGATGAGGCGGCAAAGTGTTAATGTTTTACATATCTATTATCTATTTGTGGTGGCCGAATTTTGCTATTCAAAAGGCTTTTTAATGGCTGCATCGATCGACATGCGGTTTTCGCCAAAAGATTCTTTAAAATATTCTCCAGAGCATGACGCCCTTGGTTTTTTCAGTTTTGAGACAGTTTTGCTGCAAAAAGATAAATTTCTTTATTTCGCCGATCGCTTTTGTAGCTGGCGCTTCTGTCTCTGTAATTTTAGAAAATTCCGGAAGTGATATTTCGCGAGGCGCGTTTTGTTTTGAGAGTATAGATCTAGACCTTATAATTTTTTGCATCTCTCAAAATGTATTGCCCCATTCCATTAAAGTGTAAATATAGTAGGCCAATGACTTTTAGCTGATATTGAAGCACCGACCATTCCTTTCATCGAAAGGGGCCCCAGCTAGTTATTTATATATACAGCCTTTTGCTAAAATTGACTTGATCATCCTTGAGGAAATTTGTTTCATCTTCAGCAATGCTTTAGGTATACAGCACAAAGATGACTGTACACTTCAATGCTAGTTTGATTCTTATTTCATAGTGTCTATGTTTGCATTTCCAGGAGGTCTGCCTTCAGCCAGAAGAGGTCTACTATCTTGTGATTGAGTTTGACCCTATGTTCAAAGATGACTGCCACATACGCACGGTTGATGAGGTCCTTTACATCACCTACAAGGAACACCCACACATTGTGAGTCATGTTGAAGGTTTTCCTTATAATTTAAAAAAAAAGTTCTGACTGCTTTTGTTTGGGATTTATTTTTCATTGTTGTCTTTTTTCCCTGTGAAAAGATGTCGGGTGACTTGAGGACGTTGTTCATACGTCCTACTAATTTTCTTTCATTCTGATGTTTCTGTCTCCTTGTTTTTCTTTTTTCCCTGCACTAAATGTGCACATTATTGTGTCAATGCACTTCTCTATACTCAAACAAACAAAAGACATCGGAATATTCCTTGTCTTGTTGATCTATTCCAATCATTTGTCTGTTATCTGTCTCTTGTCTTTTTACACCAATTGTCTCTTACTCATTCTCTTACTCATTATCTCTCTATATCACATCATTATCTCTCTATATCACAGGCATTTTCTCTCTATATCACGGGCATTATCTCTCTATATCACATCATTATCTCTATATCACATCATTATCTCTCTATATCACATCATTATCTCTCTATATCACATCATTATCTCTCTATATCACATCACTATCTCTCTATATCACATCATTATCTCTCTATATCACATCATTATCTCTCTATATCACATCATTATCTCCCTATATCACAGGCATTTTCCATTCCATGAGCAGAGTCCTAGACTTATGCTATCGTATCTAACGGATTGATATTACTTGAAAGTTATATTCAACAAGCAGTGCCGTTTTAGCTTCTTGTGGGTCTGTCTTTTTTCAGAAGACATACATTAGTCAGTACACGTACATACTGAGACTCTCTCTCCCAAACTAAGGAATGCACAATTCCGTCCTCTTTTTTTTTTACCCTGTTTCAGCCTTTAATTTTAGACACCTCCCCCTCTCCAGACTTCCAAACCTCAGTCTATCTGTCTTTGTGTTGAATGGGGTGGAGGAGGGGGGGGGGGGGGGGTTAGAGGGGGCAGGTAATTTTTTGCTGGCCCTCTGCATAACGACAGGAGGTTCAGTTTCTCTGTCGTGGAAAAGTACTAGTGAATGTACAGTTTCTATGCTCAAATTATTACATCTGTGATCTTTTCTTAGTATATCGTCTCTTCCTTCTTCCTTTCCTTCTTCTGTCTTCTTAACTCTTATCAAAGGTGAGATGCTCCTCATTTGAAATAACCTTACACTATTTAGTTGTGTCTTGTAGTATATTGTGTCTTGTAGCATATAACTCTCCTTCAAAAGCGTTTAGAAAATCTTACATCTGCTATTTATTTTTTTGACAGGACTATGTGGCCTTGCGTGGAGAAGTCTACTTCCCCAACCTGGAGTTTGAGAAGTCAGTGGTCGACTTTGGCTGCATTCTCAATGACACTGAGGTCACTCGGTACATCAACATTACAAACAACAGCCCCATGGAGGTGAGTTGGGATTGTGGGAGAGTGGAGCACAGAAAGGACTTGCAAGTTTAATTATGCTTTGAAAAAATATGTCAAAGATTTTGAATGTTTGGGTTTTATATGTATACAAGTCTCTGGTAATTCTAGTTATATCATATCCTTTTGTACAAGCTTAACATTAAAGTTGAAAGAGTTTTGTGACTAGCTGTCTCTGTTTTAGATGTCATTCTTTAAAAAATAGGGTAAAAAAAAATTGTTTAAGTTTTACAATCTACTAGACTTAAAAAGGTCTTTTCAAATGCAGAGCTTTTGGCCATTAGTAGGAAAAGATTATTACAATAGTTCTGAATGACAAAGGAAGACCTGTCCAAAATAACTAGCATTGTTAGAGAGAGTAAGAGTTCTGTTTATGAAAAATTAACTGTCTCATAGAGTCCTAGAAGCAGAATTTTGACCATCCCCATAAATTCTAAGATATACTCTAACATGTTTTTATTCTATTGTAATTTGGAGAAGGAGAGACAAACTCTTTGATAAGAATAAAGCATTGAGAGTCAAAAATCTCTACTTTCTTATCAAAGAAGGTCCTAAAGAGTCGAATACTTATACTTCCTGTTCTTACTGTTAGTGGAAGTTGAAAAGAGTCTAATTCATTGACTGTCTGTGCCCTACAGGTGCGTTACCACTGGTCTTTCCTTGTGGGAGATGTTCCCTCATCTGTGAGGAAAATGCCAAGACCAAAGAAAGCTTTTGTGAAAGAGATGATCGAGGAGGAATGCGTGATAACCGAAGTGCTTGAGGAGGAGGAAGCAACTGCGGAGGATGAAAATGCAAAGGAGGCTGAAGTGGGCAATGCTTATGGTGACGGGACTGACAATGAGGAGGAGAGAGAGAAAGTCCAGGAGGAGACTATGGAAGTGTCAGTGGAACGGGCTATGGAGGTACAGGTTATTGTTCACTTAACACCTTAATGGCCACTCATCTTGTGGCTGGTGGATCAGTCATTCTCTCTGCAAAAAAAGCAAATAAATCTCTTGGATTGGAATGGTATTAGCTATACACGTTAATTTTAGTACACAAGTGTCAAGAAAATGAACGTTAATTTTAGTACACAAGTGTCAAGAAAATGAACAAAGAATTTGTTTTCTTCTGTTTAGTGAATTTTTGTAGCTTAAGGGTGGATACAGAAAAGCAAACTGGTTTATTTTAAAACTTTCCACAAGGGGGGCTATTCTCATCAATTGTCCTAAAGAGAAAGTCACAAGGGACATGAGTACCTTCATCTTTCAATTTTGTTTGTTTGCATTCTATGCCTTTTAAACCACATTGTTTATCTTATTTTATAATCTGGACTCCTGTGTGGTTATCTTTTATAATGACTTGTTTCCTCTTTCAGGTCAAGTTTCCTTCTTCACGTGTGACTATCCCTTTGATAATCCAATGATTTTGTGACAGCTTTCAAAAGTGGTCTTCCACCAATGGTATTAGAAACACTTTTAGTTTAGTTTTAGTAAGAGTTTTTCGGCGCTTGCAACACAATAAGGTCATATAAGTGCCACAGATTAGAGGTGTTACAAGTGAGTAACAAACACAAAAAAGGAGGAGGGGACATAAAGACGACAGATGTTTGATAGGAAAGAAGGAGCAAACCACACCAGAGCACCCGCCAACCACCCACAGAAACACTTTAAAGACAATTCATTTTTCCAATAATGCAATTTTTTAAAAGGCACACTACTTAGGAATCTGATTTACAAAATTAAAGGAATTGGTGATAGAGAAGATGTTAATAAATGTTCTTTCTCAATGATCAGTAAAATGAGTGCTCGTTTTTACTTTATACCGTGTAGGTTGTTGATGGGAATGAGAACCTTGAAGAGAAGAGGACAGATGACGTTGGTGATGATAACAGGAAGGATGATGGAGGCTCCCGCCCCGAGAGTCCTTTGGATGTTGATGCTCCAGAAAAGGTGAGAGTGTGGCCTAGGAGCAGTTTTATCCCAATGTAACTGGCTTGATGGGTATTAGATTTTTTATATGAATTTTTTTTTTTGGTGTAGATCGGAAAAGTAAAGTAAAAAACTGGATCGGGAAAGGATATGAATTTTTAAGAACATTTGCTTGATTTTAGCCGGATACCTTGTCAAACAAAATTATTACAAATGTTTGAAATTTGACTTTCAGAACATGCAGATGTACACAACAATTTTCTTTTTGTCTTTATAATGGGGAAAAAAGTGCTTGATTCTGAAATGCAAGTTATGGTTTGTTTTATTTTCTTGTTCAGGGTCAGCTTGATCAAGAAGAGAAATCAGATGGTGAGAACGAAAAAGAACAGCAGGAGAGGATGTCTCTTGGAAGCCGTTTGTCTTTGAGAGAAGACGAGGAGGAAGCTCTGCGCTCCAACAGGGTGCTCATGGCTCTCCTCGAGGAAGACGAGGAAATTGCACCAGCTATTGGTGTGGAGGAGGTGAGTTTGAGTCTCTTTCAAATCACATTTAGGTTGAAACTGGTTTCTTAGTTTTAATAACTGTGTGATAAAAATAATTTTGGCATATTTGCAAGACTTATTATATTCCACATGATATTAATACTCGAACGTGTGTGATGAAACAAGCTGGGGAAAGAATGTTTCACGTATTCAAAGACAGATGTCAGTGTCTGACTTTTCTCTATGGCTTGCGCACAACTTTATTTGAAGTGGATTAAAAGTTATGTTTATGCTGGAAAACTTAAACTTGCAAAGGATCAGTTACTTCTATTCTTTTTGTCTCTGTTTTACCCAGAAGTTTTATTGGGGGTTTTTTTTTGGTGGAATAATATTACCTGTATTACCTGTCGTGGGCAACAACGTCATTGCACACCGGACAGGTCCATAAGTGCTCAGTTCCCCCCAGCACCAAAGCCCGCAAGGTATCCATACTGATTGTTCCGGTGAATTTTTGATTATGGCGACGTCTTTCCTTTCCAGATAATCGTTCCTTTCTTCCTTCTCCCCTCTCTATCCTATGGTGTGGGGCTTGTTAAAGGCCCTGTATTAATACCTTTTTGGTGGAATAATATATAATGCATGAATGAGTAACCAAGTCTTATGGGCATTGTAGAAAAACAAAGAAATAGTTTTGGCAGCTCATTTATTTGTCTTGATATCTCATTCATTTTTTTGCGGCTTCTGACTGCCTGTATAAATAAATATGCTATACTAAATTTGCAAGGTAAGGTCTACTGTGGTTAGTAAGAAATAACCAGCTACACTGGTTTTGATGATGTGATTTTTTGAAAATATGCAATGGATATTTGTACTCTACATTTCTTTCTTTCCCAAACACAGGTGTTTGACATCCTTCCTCTCTATGGCTGTCTTCAACCTGGTGACACAGAACAGGTGACCTTCACCTTTTATGGACATGCTGACATTTGGGGAGAGGTCAAGGCCATTTGTGAAGTTGAAGGTGGGCCTACTTATGAGTTGAAGATGACAGGTGAAGCTTCTCTGGTGGAGTACGAGTTCAACACCAAAGAGATTGACTATGGCAAGCAGGTATGAATATGTTGTAATTTTTTGAAAAATCTATTTCGGTTGTGAATAATTTTGAATATTGCTTTCTAAACTTCTAGCATGTACCACTGAACTGTCATTTTTAAGATACCTTTTTCTTTAGCTGACAACTAAGTATGTCTCTTCCTAAATAATGTTTTGACTGTTGTCATTTTTGCCTTGTCTTCTTTTGTAGCAGTTTCAAATGCTTCTTTGTAAAATACCAAGCAGATGTGGCCGTGTTTTCAATGTTTTAACTTGGTGAATGATTCTATTCAAATGAGAAGCAGCGTGGTGGAATCAGGCTCTTGTCAAAATAATCAAAGTGAAGAAACTTGAATTTTTCAGCGGGTTTATTAATTTTTATCAAATTTTTGTTTTTTGGCTCAACACTTTCATACCTATTAAAGAACTCATTTCTGTGGAAATTTTTCTGAAAAATTTTGATTTAAGGCACAAAAAATGTAAATTTTTAGTTACCACGGACTCTTAAGCTTAGGAAATAATTAATCTTTGGCAGCCATTTTCTCACTAATTTTACCTCTGAAAACAAGTGACCTCCACCTCCTTCTTTCGCAAATATCTCGACTTGTATTCAAGATAAATTGATATTTTTTTCATCCAAATAAAGACAAATGAACAAGCTTTGAAATGATACCAATAACTCTACATGCCCAAAAATTGACGAGAGCCTGATTCCACCACGCTGACTCACAAAAAAACTCTTTAGAACCAAGTAAAAAAATAATAATTAAACACCTGAAATAAATGAATAGTTGCAGCATGCTTTATTGCAATTTTGTATCTGAAAGGAGTTGAGTATAAGTGATTAAGTTGAGCGTTTCTATTTTTGTTAAAGGAATCAGTAGCAAGTTTTGTGAATTGAGTAGTTTTTTCTTGTTTTTTGGTATTTTTAGAAGCGCTTTAGCTGGACCTTGATCAAAAATAGATTCCTCGGATTTGGTTGTTGTTTTTTTAAAATAGTTTTTTGGGGTGTGTTTTTTGAAGATTTTTGGGCCTGCACTTGGTATAAAAAAAAATGACGTGTATCTTGCTATACATTTCCTACAGATGTACGATCATGTGGCTTCCTCCACCATCACCCTCATCAACACGGGCAAAGTAGGCTTTGAGTTCAGTGGCATTGGCATGGACCCAGCTCTACAGAAGAGACCTCTTCCTGGCCAACCTGTTATGGTGCCTCATTCTGTAAGTTTCTGGTCTTATTTGTACTCTTCTGTCTTCGATTTGCTTTTACTTTCAGATTTAGTATGGTGTATGTTTGTTAAAGGCTCTTTTTTACACTGGTAATATGACATAGACTTATACAGTCAGAACACATGTGATACTCTGTAGCAAAAAGACCTCCTTTGTGGGGGATGGAAGAAAAAAAATGACTCATTATAAGAAATGAATATGCTGAAATGGGCCGTAACCTCAACAGAAGTTAACTTTGGAACATTTGAATAAACTTCAGAAGATTGCAGTGAATGGAAGAAGGGAATAGACGCCACTTTCAAGATGAAAGAGAAAGATGTAGCTTTCAAGGTACAAGTATGCAACACCTGAAGAATCATGAGAGGAAGCTGCAAAGTGCTACTTGTCATTTCTTTGCTTGCCCCTTAGTTTGGCTACTTTTTATGGCATGCACTATCCAAGTTAGTCAGATGCACCTTTTCTCATTACACTAAATGTGGACTAACATTGCTCAGACATTGTCGTCTGCAGCGATAGAGCAGTGCCTATCACTATTACTGCTGATTTACTATGCTAAACATTTCGGTTTGCACGTAGTTATTTATTTTATTTTCACATTTCTGTCTCATAAATCTTTCCTTTAACTAGTTAGTTACAAAACTTGTTCACTCTTTTAAACAGCATTGTTGGTTCAACAGTGCCAGCAGTTGACTGAGAAGACAGACCTAGAATTTGACTAACTGACAGTGAAAGTTGATGGAAATTTCTGCCTCAATGCCAATTATTTCCTACTGTTTTTGTAATTTGTTATAACCCATGATATGTTATCCTCTACTTTTTGATGCATTTTTATTTTTATTTTTTCATCCTTACTTTGCAGGGCTACATAGAGCCCTTTGCAGAGCAAAAAATAGAGGTGAAATTTCTGCCTGGAGTTCCAGAGAACTTCCACAAGAGTTTCCAGATCCAGGTGGCGCACTTTGAACCAGACTCCATCAGCCTCTATGGTGAAGGTGAGAAAACGAAAAATTAAAAAATTTCCTAAATGTTATCATATGAAAAAGAAATCGCGATAGTTGTTTAACCAATCTTTTATGTGTAACACCTTTGTCTCAACTTGTGTTTTTGTCGTTTATCCTTTTTCATGTGTTGCGAACAACCCAGTTTGCTGTCATTTGTTTTTATTTACTTTGTACTGTGACCCATCCGTTCTTTCTGTTCTTAGTCTTCTCAAACATCCTTGCTGTGGTAAAAATGACCAATATCTCACGTTATTTCTCATGTCTCTCTCTGAATTCTTTTTGACCTTTAATTTTTTTTTCATCCTTTTGTTAGTAGTCTTTGTTGAAAATTTCTGTTGTACTGCAAACTCAAATGAAGGACTTCGAATCCTGACTTTTTTCCTTCAATTGCTAAATGTAATCTGAAACCCATTGTTTTGTGTCTTGAATAATCTTATGTGTGCCCATGATGTCGAGCATCTTGTTCTATACAAAAAGAGCACTTTTTTTTTGTTAAGCCTTACTCTGACAATTTTTCACCGCATAACACATACCATGGTCAGAAATTATTTGTATGTCTTACCTCTGAAAATCAAGTTGCTCTCCACCCCCACCCCCCTACCCCCTTATCCATTTCAAAGTACTTGACCTATTGACCTAGTGCACAACATCTCAGGTCATCAGGGGGGATAACAGTGGGGTTGGTGCTGTGTCTTACAGGGACAGCAAACAGTGGCTGTAATCATCATGATGTGCAAAGGTATGGGGGATTATACTTAACCATTTTCCTGTCTAGCTTGTGAAATATCTTACTAATATAACTGTTCTAACCCCCCCTCCCCCCCAGGTGTGTTCCCCCGAGTGTCTTTGGACCTTCCGCGACTGGAGGATGAGGAGGGCGTCTATGCTGGTCTGGTCAAGGAAGCAAAGGAGAACCTGGCCCGCAGCTTCAAGAAGCAGCAGCAACTGGCCGCACTCAAAGCAGACGAGGGAGAAATTGAGGAAGAGTTGATGAAGCTGGTGTCAGTTGAAGACGGAGATGGAGACGGGGATGGGACACGAGAGGCTGGCTCCAACGCTCAGGCTTATGTGAGTTGTTGATTATTTTCTGCTCACATCTGCTTTAGTGACCCCCATTCTCTGATTTGTCTCGGTCATTAAATGAGCTGTTTACTGGAAACAGGAGCTCCAAAATACGGTGAAGTGTGGCCGTTTCCTTTCAAGCTCGTGCAAATTTGCAACACTAGGATGACTCCTTCTAATCAATTTCAAGCGTGCTCGAAAACAGACTAGAGTCCTCTTTGACTCTATGACATAGCTGCAAGTGGTAGCGAAAGGTGAAGCAGATGTATTCCTTGGATGTCTCCTGCTTCATCTTGAAAGTTTATTAACAAGATTTCTACATTGTATTATTTAATTTAGATATATGATCAGAATGTTTTTGAGTTGATATCACAGGAAGAACAATTTGGTTTTTCATATCTATAACTTTTTTTCTTGATATCTCTTTTCATGACTAACAGTGGTTTGTGTCTCCAAAAATACTACCCTCTGTGTATGTTATATTACCTTTATGGCACTGCTGTTTCTTTCCAAAAGTATCTTATTTCTAAATTAAATGTTACTTCTGTATTTTCCATCTTTTCTGCTTGTGCCATTGTATGTTACATTCCCTTTGGTTTTCGGCTCTAACAAAGTTATGTGATCAACATGGACTGATCATAGAACATTTGAATTTCCTAATGCGGCTTGCACAGAATTCAAGAAAAAATTCAAAGGCCAGTGCTGGAACTGTCCTAATGAATTCTGGAAGTGGGCCTAGTCGCCAAAGCCTCAAAAGCCTGACATTCACCCCTCAAGAGCCTAGTTCTAGTGGAATTCCAATCCCTCTGCTGGAAGGAGCAGAAGGAGAAGCTGGAGATCCTGGAGATGCTAGTCAGGCTGTGGCTCGAGAAAATGCTGTACAGGAAGAAGGGGAGCCTTATGCTGAGGTTCTTTGATGCTTCTGGTTTCTTGTGTTTAGTCTAGCTTTTTGGGGTTTTTACAGTTTTACTAGCTTGGGTGCTTGATTTTTTTGTTTGTTCCTTTGCTGCTGTTGAATTAAAAGTCACAGAGATTTGTGTTTGAACGTTCTGCTTCAGAAAACATTCCCATCACATTCTTCTATTTTTCCACTTCTGTTTTTTTCCTGGTGTCATTCTATTTTTTTTTCTTCACCTTTGTCATTATCAGTTGAGCTCTGATTCCCTGAAGTACTGTTCAGAATTGCCTGAGTTTGATTTTGATCCTCTTTTGATCTGGTCTCAGTTGTGAGCACCTAATTTGTAGATCTTTATGGAATGCTGTGTAGTTTGTTTTCCTCCGTGTGGTATGGCAGTACAAAATTGTGTCAACTTAATTCACATCTGCAGTTACAATTTTTTGCTTTCTTGTTTCTTTCTTTGGTTTCTTTGCAATTTTGGTTTGGTATGATTCTTTTATGAATAGCTACATCCTGTTTATTCTAGGATGTTGTCTGTGATTGCCACCTGATTGTCTAATTTGTCTTTTGAGGAACATACACGTACCTTTTAAATCAATTTCTTGCAAAAATTAGTTGTTTCACACAAGGGAGAAAATACTTTGATCAGCAAAACTTTTTGTTTAAAGCTCCTTCAGGACAGATCTTTTCACTCATTATTAAGTTTAGCTCGGTGAGCAGAGAATTCAGTTAGATTTACTAAGAAGTTGAGTTTACAACCCAATCCTTATCTGCAGAAATATGTTATCAAATTTTGCAGAGGTATTTTTCTGTTTCTGTGATACGACAAAGGTGTCTTGTTCTTGAAGTGGTTGGAGAATGCTGTTGACAGATTCTGATTCATTCCCGTCCACCTATTTCTGTTTATTATTTTGCTCCCCCCCCCCCACCAAACTCTGAATTCACCTGCTTTATATTAATTAATGTGGGTTTTTTTACCACAAAATAAACAAAACCTGTCTGGTTCTATGGTAGGGTCAAGGAGGTGGAGATACCGGAACTGTCCAGACTCCAAAAGTAAACCATCTCCCAGAGGTGATCTCTCTTGTTCACTGGATTGTTCTGCTTGGAGTTCACTTATCTTGTTGGTTTTATCACAGTTGTGTGCACTGGTTTTATTCATGTCTTCACTTTGTTTTATACTCATTATGAACATTTGTTAAATTTATATGTGTGATTACTGAGCTTTGACGAAGTTACATTTTCATTTGCTTCAACAATAAATAAAGTGACTTTCTGTTTTGTCCTTTGAGGTGTAGAATCTGTACGGTTTATTTCCCAAAATTATTTTTCAAATGAGTTTTGTGTGGACACATGTAACAAAAGCCAGTCGTATCAACCTCAATGTTTGCACCTTTTTTTTCCCCACCTCAACCTTGTACCTTTAAATAAAATGCTTTGTATGATTTGTGAGGCAGCGTGGTGGAATCAGGCTCTCGTCAATTTTTGGGCATATTGAGTTATTGGTATCATATTAAAGCTTATTCACTTGTCTTGCTTTCAATGAAAAAATGACCCGTCCATCTTCAATAGAAGTTGAGATATTTTGGATTGAAGGAGGTGGGGGTCACCTGGTTTAAGAGGTAAAATTAGCGAGAATATGGCGCCAAAGCTTTGTAAATTCCAAAGCTGGAGAGTCCATGGAAACTGTAAATTTATATTATTGTGCCTTTAATCAACGTTTTCCGTGAAATCCTCAAAGGAATGTGTTTGTAAATGGACATAAAAGGTGTTGAGCCAAAAGACAAAAATTTGATAAAAATTGCTAAGCAGGGAGGAAACTGCTGTTTTCTTCGATTTCATTATTTTGACGAGAGCCTGATTCCACCACGCTGCCTCACGTTTGTTGTTGGTTTGGTGTTCTTTGTTTTTTCGTGTGTGGGGCACCACCAAAGAATGGGGATGTTAATTAATAAAGATATCTGGTTCTGCACCATTTTTGATTGCACTGTGTGGTTGTCTCAGTATTCCTGAAAAGCACAGCCAGTTGTTACAAAAAGTGTCCCACCACATCATTAAGCGTTATGTTTTGTTCATTTGGATGGATGTTAATAATTTTTTAACGTGTACGGATTTAATGCTCCAAATGTAGTAAGTTCCTTTCTGACAGAATTGGTGTCTCTGCTGGTCATACCTGACACAACAAGTCATCTTAATCCTTATTAGTTCTGTTTGGCTAAAGAAATATTCTCCTCTGCAGATGCATTGGTCATTAATGAACAAAGACTATTATTATTAGTACTGTAATTATTATCATCATTATTATTATTATTATTATTATTATTATTATTATTATCATTATTATTATTATATTATTATCATCATTATCATTGAGACTTATTGTCTGTTTTTCTGTGCTTGGAAAAAACGTGATGCTGTGTATAAATAACAGTTTAGACAGTTATGTATGGATCTGTCATCTGTTATTGCTTATCGCTCTAAGAATATACTGTATTCATGATTGATTATTTTCTTTCAAAAAGTGTCTAATTTCAAGTGAATTGTTTTTTTTTGTCTCTTTATAGGTATTGAAAGACGCAGGTCTCTTATAAATCTGAACTTTAAAAAAAACAACTCATGACACATTTTTAAATGATTAGTGAAATCCTTAGTGTCATAGATGCCAATTTCCATGTGCCATTACCGCACTTTATAATCTCTAGGTCTATATTATTTACCATTTTTTTTTCTTGCTTTGAATAATGTCTGCTGGCTCTTTGCTGTTGCTTGCGAAAGACAAGAGTTCAATTCCCAAGAAGGGAGGTTATTGTTTCAAATGACTTTGACTTTCTGATGATAATATACTGTATCCCGCCTCAGCCTGGGTTTTCCTGACAGGCTGGGTTGAAGCAGAACTCCTCCTTAAGAATCTGAATAGTGATGGGGACTTACAACATTTACTGTCACTGATTTTGTTTCTTTTTTTCTTTCAGCATGAACGAGAACCCTCTGAGCTGGAGACACAGATGGAAGTGGAGAGGCTGGCAGTGAGAGATTTTGCTTTGGAACGCCAAAATGACTCCTGCAGATCCTTCATTCGGGCATCAGTGGATGACAAAGGGGACAACCTGTTACAGCCAGTTCCATCCAATTTGACTGTGCTCACAGCTGAGTCTTTTGGTGCTTCAAAGCCGAAGTGAGCCTTATGAATTTTTCTTAATATGTATTTGGCATTGATCATGTTGTTTGCGATTGTCTAGATAAGATAAGATAAGATACATCTTTATTGTCCAGATCCTGGCACATTGGTTTGGTGTTCCACCACGAGTACACACACACGCACACACACACACACACACACAAACACACACACACGTGCACACACATGCTCACACAAGTAGGCTTACAATCACATGCATAATATAAATGAGCAGCAATATAAACAATAATAATCGTAAGCTAGAGTATTTAGTAAAAGATTTTGTTTTGTTGTAACCCATGGACTGACACTTGACACCGGGTGAATTTGGCAAATGAATAAGAAGCCAACTGAAAGGTGTATGGCTCACTCATCACTTTATCTTCATGATTTGTAACATAGATTTGTTTAAGATGCATTTTATAATGATAAGTCTCTTAAACTCTGTGGAGCAGCTTATTGATACTCTGATAAATGTCATCTTAAGTCGGTTTGAAAACTGCTAACTTTTTCATTTTGTTTTTTTTTTAATTTAGAATACTGAAATGCTAATTTCTCTGTTTTGTCTCATGAAGTGAAGAACATGCTGAGTTTTTTAAGAAAATCTTTGTCTACCTGTTGAACTAATTTTATTAACATTTCAATTTGCATACAACTGAAATTTGATTGTTGTGCACCTTCAGACCTCTACTGCCAGACTACCTTCTGGACTTTGGCTTTGTGGTGCTGGGCACGGTGCGCACCCATGTGGTGAGAGCCACCAACACAGGATGGTTCCCCGCCTCCTTCAAACTGGAGCGACAGAACATACACGTATCTGGGTTTCACGTCGAGCTGGATCGTGTACGGAATCTGCCTGGAGCCCCAGACAATGAAACTCTGGACTTTGTGGTCAGTTTTGACCCTAGGGGAGCTAACCTGCACCTTGGAGCTGTGGAGGTGGTGGTCCCGATCAATGTAAGTAAACAAGTTTTTTTTTCTAAATGCTATTCAATGAGACTTCCATTCTCTGATGAAAGATTTATCATGTTTAAGTCAATTTTTCCCACTTCCCCCCAGCATTGGTAACTCCAGATACACAAACAGAGAAAAACTGAGATAGACTTAGAAATATAGCTCTCTAATAAAATGTGTAGTATTGTGGCTGTAATTTTCCCATGCAGAGATCTGAAAGCACTGAAAGTAGATTCTGGCTTGTGATGAATATTCCAGTGTGAATAGAAAGGTTTGTCTAGCTTTGAATGGCCTGCATGTTCTCTATGTTATGCTTGACTTCCTTGTTCACAGCTTTATTTCTCCTGAATGGAAAATCTCTTACTATTCTACATTAATTCATCTCCCCAGATTGTCAATGGCCCAATGTTGATGATGCGTTTGCGGGCTCACGTGACAATGCCGGACATGGAGGTCTCTGATGATGTCCTGGAGTTTGCAGAGGTCAAGTGTGGAGAGTGTAAGGTCATCACTGTACAGCTGCACAACCACCAGATGGTCAAGTGTGAATGGGACTCGACCCCAACAGATGACAACAAGAACATCGACAAACACGTGCCCATGCACTTACGCCGCAAGATCAGGCAGGCGAAGAAGAAGCCTCGCATCTTTGAGGTGCTGCCCCCTACAGGTGTGCTGATGCCTGGTCAGAGGGTGAATGTGCAGGTCAAGTTCATGCCCACAGAAGAGGTCAGTAAATCATAAAAGTAGGATCTAAAATGCTGTTTAAGAAAAGAAGTAATTCTATGAATGAGGTTATGATACAATTGAGCAGAATGTAAAATTGCTAAGTTGTAAATTGTAGCAAAGAGTTTGGTGGTTAGAGTACAAAGGAAAGAAAAGAGTAAACCATTGAAGAGATCTCTGACAAGTTATCTTCCAACTGAAAGTTGACCTATGAATGAAGTATCTACTTTTTTAAAACTCAAAATATTACTTAAATATTATTGAAAAACATTGGTTGTCAGTACTTTGTTCTCAACTGCGTTTGGATTTATTGCAACTAATTTCATCACTTAGACTAAGGTTTGATAAACCCAGTATTTTTACACTTGTGAAGAAAGCTGTGATGTATTTTGGGGGGGGGGGGGGGGGGCTGTTTGACTTTGTGGCAAAAACTACTCAGTTGTAAATTTCAATCCCCAGAAATTCTATGAAAACCGGATTCCCATCCGCATTGCTCAGAGCAGTCAGCGAATTGTGCTGTTGTGCCATGGACAAGGATTGGAGCCCAGGCTGGAGTTTGAGCGGACGTTGGTTGCCTTTGGTCCCATACTGCCCCACAGTCAGGGAGACGACCAAGAGGTGGTTGTCCGGAATCCCTGCTCCTTCCCCATCGAGTTCTACTCCTTGGAGTTTGACTCTGGCTATCTGGAGGAAGAAAAGGTAATTTGCAGTAGCTGTGGTTAAGTGTATTTGAATTGACATCAAGTTCTATCATTTGTGATTTATAATTTACTCTGAGCGTACTTGTAGAAAAATTGGAAAAGAGGCCACTAATGCCAACACAGGTTTTGAATTCCTAAGGTTTATTGTTTACCACGCGATATGACTGTTCAAGCTGTCATTTCCAGCAACCTCTGCAAACCTGGAACAATTATTACTGTAATTTTTGGAGACCTTTATTATGTCAACATTAGTTTTCTCATATGAACGTAGCTTCACTTTTTGTTTCCGAACTGTTGTTTCTGTACTCCATCATTTTATGTTTTGAGAGACACTCAAAACTCAAAGAGCTTTTTCATTCCAGGTTCTCCGCCTCATGCGAGGTTATGATGAGTACAACACTTTGCTGCTTCCTCCCAGGCCTGTCAACGAGAAACTACCAAATGAACTGCTTGACTTTTATGATGGTGAGTTGTGCACTTCAAACATGTTTGACCAAAATCACAGCACTATGTGGTTGTCTCTCCATGGGATTTTTTAAACATGCCCTGAAGTCCATTGCATGCTCTTCTTTTATGCTCTTTTGATTTAGCAGAAGTTAGCTGGTTCTTTTATTGCCTCCTTTCACTTTGAACTTGTTACTGAAATTGTTCTTCATGTTCTGTTGAAGTTTTCCAGTATAATATACTTTGAAGTCATCTAATATGAGCTGCAAATAAATAATCTATTGCAGAATTATCTAGTCTGTGGGAACGTATGTCTGAGCTTTTAAAACAGGTGTCCTTGATGAGTCATCATGCTGCAGTGTTATTGAAATGTTTAAAACTTTCTCTATTTCTCTTATAAGACCAGTAATATGGGCTGCTGTGTAATCTTTCAGAGCAACTGAAGAAACTTGAAGAGGAGGAAAAGGTTAAGCAAGAGGCCGAGGCAGCTGCAGAAGCTGAAAGGAGAGAGAGAGAAGAGAAGGAGAAAGAAGGTTGGTAGTTGTGTGAACAACGTAAGATCTTTGTCTATACCAAGGACAATATTTCATACGAACAAAATTGAACAGTGGAAACATGTTGTGTTACAGAAAGAAAAGGTCAAAGCAGTTGGTTGGGTTTTTTTGTGTAAATAAAATTGTTCTTGTTATGAATCAAAATATTGACATCTTTGGTATATCAGTGAGGCTCTTTGCCTTACATCAAAAAGACAGGAATCGGATTCCCATGTAGATTAGACCTGTGATTGAGTATTTCCTTCTTTTTCTGCAAGGTTAATATCCCAGTCTGGACAGGCCCTGAAAAACAGGTCAAAGCAGCCATCCTCTTACATTGTCCACCCTGTGTCAGTGGAAACAAAACATTTGTTGTTGTCTGTCTTTACATATAAATGCATAACATTTGTTGTACTTCATGATATACCTTGAGTACAGTGTCTCTTCATTTATACTGAGATAATGAATATGATTAGTTGGGAATAAGGAAAGATTTGCTGAAAATCTTAATAAAGAAAAGCAAATACAAGCAATAAATAATAAATGTTGTACACTTTAACTCTTTCAGTACGCAGGGGATCTGCAATTTTCTGCATCAAGGCGCGAAGGGTGTTACCTCAAAACGGCTGTAATTCAGTCAAATATTCGTATGTGTGAGCACTCAAACCATTCGTAATTATACAGAAAATCGCAATACGTGTGAAAATGGGTGTAGATCTTGGGGTTGACCAAATCGGTACCCCAAAATGTCACTTAAGTGGCGATCCGGAATCAAAGAGTTAAGGCACACTGGTCTGTATCTGATAACTTTGAAGATTTCACAAACTTATGTGTATGTAAAGTGAGTGTTGAAAAGCTGTTTGCACTCATACACTGCTGCACTCTCTTCTCACATTCTGGATAGATTTGCCATCTTTAGCATAATGTCTCCTTGCTATTTTCCCATGTTCAGCTTTACTGAATCAATCATCGCCGACCTCTCCTGACACTCCTCCTCCTCCCGCTCCTGCGCCTCCTGAAGAAGAGAAAGAAAAGAAGAAAAAAGAAAAAGGGAAGAAAAGTGTGGGGAAAGACACTAGTAAAGACAAAAGTGGCAAGGAAAAGGCGCAGAAAAAAACTGATGAGATGGAAGCCTTTGAGGCTGAAAATGTTAAGCCTGATAAAGGTTGAGTGCATGAGTTGATGCAAATTACCTTTGCCTGATTTTCAAAGCAATTTGGTTCCAAGTTGTTTGTACTTTTTCCAGGAATTGTCAGATTTGAGTACATTTTGGGTTAAGGCTTTTTTTTTTTTTTTACTTCTTTCTGTTTGAAATTGATTTGTGCCAGTTCAGAACCAGTTTTTTTTAACATCCTTCAAAAGTTTGTCGTCCTCTTCTTCCAAGACAAGAAGATTTTTTTTTCTTTTTAAATATTTCTATTAATCAAGCAAATGAATTTGCCAGTTTTTCGTTTCAGGATAGAGTAGAAGAAAATCCTTCAATTAGGAATTGAGTGATTTCTCTTTTTATAGAATCAACATTTTATTACTTTCATTACTGTGGCAACATTTCAAGACATATATGTTACTCACAGGAAGAACGTATAGCTGTAATATACTCACTATTGTTGATTTTTTAAGTAAAATTTTAAGATACAGTAATGGGCTTGGTTCTAATTGGTTTGAAATAATTATTTACAGTATTAGTTATAATTAAGGTTTCAAAACTGTCATCTTTTACCTGTGCTAATGGCAAATGGCGACTTGACTGCTAGGTACCGAACACAGGGGCACATTTGTCAATTTCTTCCAAAGGTATGTTTGAGTAAGTTTTCCTCATTAATGTGTATTCTTACGCTATTTCATGGTTCTCTTCCACAGAGAAGGAAGCTGAACTACTTGCTGGGGATGACGCCACAGAAGACACGAAAGGTGGGGAGACAACTCCGGCCCCAGCAATCCTGACCACCGCTCCATCCCGCACCGCAACACCAAACGACCCTGCTGCTGCTACTGCTGCTGCTACTGCTCCGGTCGTGGGAGAGCTGAGTGCTGAGCACACCATAGATGAAATAGCCAAGAAGGAGGATTTGCTTGAGGGTGAGCTTTTTCAAGGGGTCTGCTGTGATGGATTCAAATTTGTACTTTTTGAATTCTCGATATTTATGCCTCTCTGCTGCTCTTTGTACTTTATTTTCTGTGTTTTAGATTTGTGGTAGTATTAAGTTTTAAAGTTGATATCATTTATGGTCTATATTTATAGAATCTGTTTCCATTTTTTCTAGTGTTGAATGTTCAAAGAGGAAATTATGCGTTTGATCTGGTCTTTTGCTTTTTCTTCCTAATCTCTTTCAGCTGCGTTTCTGTGTCTGTGCGTCCCACTTTAGCACTTTTTTTAGTTGGGTCGATTAGAGACAGCACTTATTGGCAATTCATTTTTCTTAAAATCCTTTGTGGGTGGTTGGTGGGTACTCTGGTGTGGTCTGCTCCTTCTTTCATGTCAAACATCTATCATCCTTATCTCCCCTCATTTTTTGGGTTGTTACTCTCTTGTATCACCTCTAATCTTCAGCACTTGTATGACCTAACTGTGTTGGAAGTGTTGTAAAACTCTTACCAAAACAAATTGAAATCCTTTTATCCTTCTGTCTATTGTCTTGCCTTTCTTTCCTGCATCAAATGACCATCGCAGAGTTTTTTTTTACTTAAACAGTATTTGTTTTCAGAATCACTCCACATCATTGATAGATGTGTTTTCTATTTTGCAGAAAAAATGAAAGAGTCCATAGCCAGTGGTCCCGGTGTTGGCGAACTGGAAATCACACCAGTGTCTGCAGCTATTGCACGTCACCTGGGCATTGACCTGACTCCTGAAGGCAAAGCAGCCAGGAACAGGCGGGGAATGGCAGTTATTGTACACGGAGCTCCCTTGTCTGGTGAGGAATTGTTTTAGTGATTTATTAGGTCGATGCCATAACAATTACTTTAATCAAGTTTGATCTGATTTAATGGTAATATGGACAATTTTTTTTGTATTCTTTTTGTTGTCTGATATTTATGAAACTGATGGAAAAATACATATGTATGGTGTAGTCTCACTTATAACAGTTGAACTTTGTGTATTTATTCCTACTATTATTTGAACATCTCCATCCTTGTAGGCAAAACAAGCACAGCTGTTTCCTTGGCTAAACACTATGAGGCAGCTCTCCTGACAGTGGACGGCATTGTGTGTGATGCTATTGCCAACGGCAACACCCCAGCTGGTTTGAGGGCACGAGAACTGTGCTCTGAGGCTGCCAAAAGGAAAGCAGAGGAGCTGAAAGAGATGGAGGGTTTTGAGGGGGACAAGAAACAAGGAGGCCTCAGTGTAGAAGCTGTTACTGCCCATACACAGGGAGCAGGTAGGCTGGTGGCTTTTATATCACTTGCTTCCTTGTTTTCTTTTTCTTGAAAATGTTTTACTTTCCCAAATACACATTAAATGAGCAACGTTCTCTTATTGTTAAAGATCTGCCTCATATCCAAGTAAAGTAAATAAGAATCTAATGGATGAGTGCATATATCTCTTTTTCACTGTCAGTGCCACTCAGGAACCCGTGGTGTTGTTACACTGCCATGTTGTATGAAAGAGTAGGACTTGTAGATGGCCTAGATTTGTCTGATTAATTAGCATCTTTATGCCGATTTAAAAAATGTTTGAGTTTAACAAAACTATAGCCAGATCTAGGTGAAGAGTTGAAAGACATCAAGAGATAATGAACGCTGCTTTCAGTTCATAATTTTTAAAAATGCTTGCGTTTGAAAAATGGTTAACTGTTTTAGGTTTTTTTTATGCTATTATGATATTGAATGTTGTTATTTTTGTTGTTGCTAATCCTGCTGGCTTTGGTTTTGTGCCAGTGGGTCCAGATTCCTTCTATAGACAATTGATGTATCATTATTTTGCTTTCTTTAATTGGAAAAAGTGTCACACATGGCTTTAAATGATTGCTTTGATTTTTATATCAATCTCCAGCTGGAGCAGCTGGCTCCTCCCTGGCCTCCAACAAAAAGACAAGCACAATTGTGGATCAGAAAGGCAAAGACAAACCAGCTGGGGGCAAGAACACTGTGGTCAACTCTTCCCTTGAGGGAGCTACTGGCAGTCAGGTATCTGTCATGTCAATTATTGTTTGGTTGTGGTATTGGTACAAATACTGTCAACTTGTGTAAACACAGATAAATCAAATAAAAATTGTCCACCTCAATCTGCAACTGAATGTCACACCTTTTTTCTCACTGGAAAAGATGCAATTTCTAGTAATGAAGGAGAGCATGTGGTGTTTGCTTTTGCTTCCTTCAGATTCAAATGAATGAGTCATTGTTATGGCTGATCTGTTCCTTGCAGAAACACAGGAACAGTCGTGCTGTTAGACAGAGCTGTCAATTTTGAACGAACACTTACAAGTGATAATTATACAGAAAAATTTGGGTTCCATGCTTATATCGTGCTTTTAGGTGGATCCTGCTGCTTTAATCCAACATGCTATTAACAGGAGACCATTGTACCTTCTTTCCATTTTGGATGCAGCCACGAAGCTAACTGCTTTGTACAAATATTTTTATTTCAGGTACATTTTTAAAAGTAATTTTCATAGTTCTGAGAACTGGAAGAAGATAAGTTCTTTCCTATATTTCTCTCTGTGCCGATATTAATTATTTGTAATCTGGCTTAAAAAGTGTTGAGAATTCCTCACTATTTCTCTACCCCCTCTCCCCCAGGTCCCAAGTAGTCCACCTCCTCTGACAGCCCCCATTGCTCGTCGCCTGAGCATCAGTGCCAGTGTGGCTGGAGAGGAGGGCTTTTTGTCCTGTGTGCTGCCAGAGGACCTTTTGGTGGAGATTTTGGCTGAACGCCTACAGGTATGACCACTGTTCATTATGTCCCTATCCTTTTTTCTCTCAAATTTCTTGTGTACTTACAACCTCGTTTTCTTTCTTCTTTTCCTTTTTTTTTTTTTTTGCCAATCAATAAATTGTTCTTCCCTCTGCTGTTTTTTATTTTTTTTGCCACATAAGAAGTGTCTGGAACAAGAACGAGAGCATGCACATGTATATACTTCCAATGCACACACATATGTTATCATTCTAATACACCCTCATTCGCACATGCCTTCCACATATACATCTGTTTCTAATTTTCTTTATTTACTTTTTTTTCATTTACCTTCTCTTTTAAATTAAGTCATTGCTTTGAGGAGATGAATATGTTTTTCCTAACAAGGACACTGAATCTTTGAGTACCTCGTATACTTGCCAACACCATACTACAATGGTGCTTTGTCTCTTCATTTAAATAGTAATTTGTGTTTAGTCACGCTCTAACGTGATTTGTTTTTGTTTTTCCTACGTTTCTTTTTCTTTGATCCCAATTTGTTTGTTGCAAAATGTGTGAATGTGAACAATCTGCCTTGTTCTTAGTCTTCTACTCTACTCATGATTGCTTCAGTAAATTGCTTTTCAGCTGAATCTTTATGAGTCTTGTTTCTCTCTTCAGCTGAATCTTTATGAGTCTTGTTTCTCTCTTCAGCTGAATCTTTATGAGTCTTGTTTCTCTCTTCAGCTGAATCTTCATGAGTCTTGTTTCTCTCTTCAGCTGAATCTTTATGAGTCTTGTTTCTCTCTTCAGCTGAATCTTTATGAGTCTTGTTTCTCTCTTCAGCTGAATCTTTATGAGTCTTGTTTCTCTCTTCAGCTGAATCTTCATGAGTCTTGTTTCTCTCTTCAGCTGAATCTTTATGAGTCTTGTTTCTCTCTTCAGCTGAATCTTTATGAGTCTTGTTTCTCTCTTCAGCTGAACGATTGTCACCGTGGAGTTGTCTTTGATGGACTGGAGACTCTCTTCTCCCAGACCCTTTTCACCACAGCCAATGCCATTCTCAAAGCTCTCAACAACCGAAGATTCATTTATTTCTGCACTCTCAAGTTGGACTTCAACATTCTGAAGGAGCAGGAAAAGAAGGCTCAAGAAGAGAGAGGTTCGTTTAATATTTGCGGAAAGAGCTCCCGCAATTTGCTCAAGTTCAGTAATGGAGATGACAATGTTGAGGTGTCTAAAACTGCTAAATATGTTCAAAGAACTGGATAGAGCAAAGTTTTAAAAGTTTTTTTTAGAGTCATGCTGTTACTAGCAAAAAGTACTTGTCCTGAAGTGAAAGCTTTCTCTAGTTTTGGGGGTTTACTTCAACATGTGAACTTGAAATAAATTATCACTGATATAAAGAAAAATTAAGAAAGGATTATGAGGAAATAGACATTTCCTATCACTGGGAATAAAAAGTAGTTTCCACTTCTCTTCTTTCCTCAAGATTGTTAAAGTGAAATATTTTGCTCTTTGTTACTTTTACTTGTTGTTTGTTTTAAGAAGGAAATGTGGATTGGATGGAATATAGAGCTCGGGGGGTCTTAGTTATTATGTGTTGCTCAGTTGATTATTTTTTGTCTCAAAGGAATCCTGCATATATTTTGTGGTTTTGTTTCTTGTTTCAGAACTGGATGAAAAGAAACGTGAAGAGGAGGAGATCCAGTGGCTAGAAGATATGGATGAGGATGAATATGATGCCCTGCCTGAGGATGTCAAGACAAAGGTGGACCAGAAAAGACTTGTTATCAAGAAGGAGAGGATCAAAAGGTATGGTACTGAAGAAAGCATACCTTCATGTTAAAAGTATATCATATGTGTTTTATTCTCACCAACATTTCTGTCAGCGGAGTGTCTCGTCCTTTTTTCCACATGGTATTTTGTTTTTCACATGTAGTATAAGCATGTTTATTTGTCTGTGTCTGCGATTGCATGAGTCTTTGCATTGATATAAATCATTGATGAAAAACGGTTTTCATGATCAAGGCCGCTTTGTTCATTCATTTTAACTGTTGGTTGTTCATCTTATTTGTTTCCCGCCTTACAGAGAGCAAGAAGAAAAGGCAGAGAGGGAGAGAATTGAAAGGGAACTGAGAGAGGAAGAAGAAAGGCGTAAAGAGGAGGAAGCGTGAGTATTGCAAAAATTGTCTTGAATTTGTGCAGCTAAGAGAATGACTCTGATTTTTTACTTTTTTCACAAAAAGATGGTTACTTCAACAGTCATCAAATGTACTTTTTGGCAAACTATAGCTTAATAGCCGTAAGTAATTATGTGCTGTATTGTTAATGATAGATCTGCAAGTTAAAAAATCCAGAATTTTCATCAACTTTACTTTTCTCTGTTTATTTGTGTTCACTTCCTATTGATTGTGTTTAAAAGATTCAAGGACTTCCTCTCAAAAAAGTTTTTTGGATCTAGCAAAATAGCAAATTATAATGAATACTGATATAAAGTGAAGACTTGATTCTTTATTCATTCTTTGTACAACATTTGTTAATAACCCAATTTTGCATTCAGATAGGTTTTGTAACCTTTCATTTTTCCCACAGCAAAAGTCGAAAACCCAGAAAAGGAAAAACTCCTGCTGTCCCAGATCCCAAGGAGAAGGACAAGAAGACGCAGACAGCTGTGAAGACAGGTCAGGGGTCGGACCGCACGCAGAAGTCACAGGGTGGCGCCAGGGGTCACGAGGGAGAGAAAGGCCCAGGCTCTGACCGGCCCGAGTCACATGCCACAGAGAAATCTGATGGGCAAACGGAGGACAGCAAGTAAGTCGCTGTACTTATTACTGTCACGATCAGGCTTCGCTGGAGTAATGCTGTTGATGGCCTGTGCTCCACTGGGAGTTAAAAAAGGGCAAGAGAGAAGAGAGAGAGTGATGACTTAATGGCTGGTGGCTTACAGTTGTGTTTCAGTGCCATGGGCCTCCTGTATGTCTGTCTGTAATAATAATAATAAATAGCATTTGAATAGCGCATAACCCCGCTCGACAGCAAGCTCTATGCGCTTTACACTATATTATTACCATAGAACACTCAGAAACATTCTCAGCTTCTCGGGAAGCATACAGTGCAAGCAGCTGATTAAGCGCTCAAACACTGACAAACTGACAAGATCTTTCGCTGTCTATAGCTGGGTATCCATTCCCACCTGGGTGAAGTGAGGAAAACTCGTGTAAAGTGCCTTTCCCAAGGACACAACTGTACATATGGCTGGTGGCTCTCTTCTGGTGTCTGCTCCTTTTTCCTCTTTCCTCTTTTCATTAATGTATATAGCTTGTGACTAAATGTGGCTATTGTTGTGCTGGCACATATTACATGGGAACTCAACAAGGACAACAATAGCATGCTTTAATGACTCCTCTGGGTCTTTCTGAAGTTCTCTAATGCTTTCTCTCTACCAGTTGTAGCTTAAAGTATCTACATAGCCATTGTTTCTTGTTTTCATCCTTGTTATTGTACTTGTTTCTTTTTTTTTTTAATCTCAGAAAAAAGAAAGAGAAAGGCAAGAAAGACTCCAAGAAGGATGCTTGTGATTCATTGCCCCTTGAAGAAGCTAGAGACCCCGCCAAAGAGGCAGAAATGCTGCTCATGCAAAGGTTTGAACAAATTACTTTGACATTTATCTGCATTGCATAATATTTAAATATAATTTAGTTGTCAGAGTATGACAAGCAGGCTGAGGTGAAATATTTTTATAGGATAAGTAAAATTGTAACTGGACTTTGATACTACATATTAACAATCTATGACACACAACAGTGAAGATTCATGTTTCTAAAAATACCCGAAAACCGCACTTATCGTAGAATCAGATGACAGAGAATAGTCACGTACTTTGGGAATGCAGTTTCAAACCACCTGATGCAAAAAAATATCAAGAATCAACGTCTTGGTGGGTTGGTTTTTTTACAGAATATAATACATGTATAGTATTGTGATTGTAATTCTCAATCGATTTTTTTTTTTTTTTCAATATTTTTATCCTGGGTGGCCAACTATTTCATTATTCAGATTCCGCACCTTTGAAGCTGGACAAAAGGACATTCAGGACCTGCTAGAATTCTGGGACAGGTCGACACTCCAGCCACGCCGACCGTCCACTCCTTCTGAGAGATCTGACGAGGACCAGAAGGACCACCCGGCCTCAGGGAAGAAGGGGAAAGGAAAAGGTTTGACTGATTGTGGTTATACAAGCTATCTCAGGAAAGGGGGGGGGGGGGAAATGCCATGTTTTTTATGAGGTGTTGTGTGAGAATATAAGCTTGAAAGAAAGCAGATTATTACATTATATTCCTATTTGTTTTGTGTCATTATTTAAACTTTACTTTGAATCAATATGTTCTTCCATATTTACTTTTTTTTTCTTCAAAATTTAATCTGAAAAAACAAAAAAACAACAAAGATGTTGCTTTTTTTGTAGCTTATCCAACTGTATTTCAGAGAAACAAGACAAAGAGAAATTGAAAGAGCAAGAAAGACTCAGGATGGAAAAAGAACTGGCAGAGAAAGCAGCAAAAGAGGTACCAGACTGAATGATTGCAAATGCGTTTACTCCTTAAACCTTTTCAATTAATCTCCGATCCCTTCACATGCATATGTATGAAGTGTTACAAAATAATTGTGTTTATTTTCATCTGCTTTTTCCCTTCTTTACTTATTGTAGGTGCATGGTTTTTGAGGGCTGTGCCTTCACCTGCTCCTTCTTTTTTTTCGTTATTTCTTTTGTCTTAAGTTAGTATGTGAATTAAGGGTGCTACTGGTAGGTCGTACTTCTTTACATTCCCTCTGGAAGTTTTATTATATCAGTCTTGTTCTTTTCTAGTACTAAATGATCTTGGCCATTTCGATATGCTTCTGATTTTTTTCAAAGTAAACTAAAATAATTTTATTAATTTGTTCTTGGTGAAATGTGGCCTTGTTGTCAATGGAAACCACAAGCCATCAGCAACTCAAGTCGTTTCCTAGCCTTGTTTTCTTTAATTTTTTAGTAGCAAGTGTCTGTTCTTGGAACTTCAAATGACATTGGCCATTTACCTGTGCTTAGTCTTTGTGTCTTTGGTCAAGGAAGAAGAACATCAGGAGACTGTGAACCATTTCATGAAAATGTTTTCCTTGATTTCAGAATGAAATATTTGCTTCAGATCCGTATCTTTCTTGCCTTTCAACAGCATCCTGTGCTGCCTTTTTATTTGTCTATTAGTCTTTCTCAGTTTTGCTTTCCTTTGAAAGTGCTTTTATAAACCATTTAATGTACTGTACCATATCTTGTACAGCAAATGATTGTTCCTGTGTGCTCTTCTTCTCCTGGTTATTTTAAGGGTAATCATTGTCCTAATCTGCTTCTCACATGTTAATATGATTTATAATATCAATAGTATCGTAGTATTTAAACTCTGACAAAAAACCATGTAACATCAATTTCTCTTTGCCTACCAGGCTGCTCTAGCAGAGGGTGAGGATGGTGACACTGTGGACGCAGAGGAGGAGAAGAAAGAAGAGGTCGGAGTCCCCAACATTCTCATTGACTGCTCCGACAAAACCTTCACACCTCACCAGAAGATCATGGAGGCAGAGACCCTCCCCACAGTCGAAGAGGTAACAATTCCTTGCCCGCACAGTAATAGTTGTTGGGAATGGTGTGTGCTTGCTCTGTGTCTTTGCAAAACTATAACACTCTCTAAGTCGTCACTTTACGGGTGGTTAGAGGGCGCCATTGGTAAGTCATGCTTCACAACTCCTCTCCTTTTGTTTCTGTCTGTCCATCTTGCTTTGCTTTCTCCCGACACTTAATGTCAGGTTTTAATTTGTCTTTTCTTTTACTTTAAAAAAGAAAATAGAATGAAAGCACTTCTAAATTGGCGTCGGTGGCCTAGTGGTTAGGCTCTCGGACTCGCAACCATAAGGTCGTGGGTTCGAATCCCGTCAGGGGCAAGACGTTGTGTCCTTGGGAAAGGCACTTTGCACAAATTTTCCTCACTTCACCCAGGTGAAAATGGGTACCCAGCTATAGACAGTGAAAGATCTTGTCAGTTTTATAGTGTTTGAGCGCGTGAAATCCGCAGCTTGCACTTTATGCTTCCGCGGAAGCTGAGAATGTTTCTGAGTGTTCTCAGAGGGTCTGCTGGGGTAATAATGGTTGTAAAGCGCATAGAGCAAGCTCTTGGGCATGGATATGCGCTATATAAATGCTATTATTATTATTATTATTATTATTACTAAATAATCTTCACTGTGACAAGACAAATGGGGAAAATAATGTTTGAGTTACTAATTTTGCTCACAAATGACATAACTGTCCTTTTTGGGTTTTACTTTTACTTAACCAATTTTTGCTTCAGGACAAAAAAAACCCAGATGTCTTATTCTGTTGTGGATAATATGTGGTACATCATGGTGAAACCAGATGCTCGTCAAAATAATGAAATCAAAGAAGTCAGCTTTGCTTTGGGCCGATGGGCAATTTTTTCTTCTTTTCTTTTCTTTTTTTTTTTTGGTTCAACCCCTTTTTTGTTAATTCAAGAACACTTTTTGTGTGGATTTTATGGAAAAACTGATTAACAGCACAAAAAATGCAAATTTTGAGTTTCCAAGGACTCTCAGGTTATGAAAGTTACTAAACTTTGGCGGTCATTTACTGGCTAATTGTAACTCAGAAACCAGGCAGCTCTGGCTTTCTTGAATGGCAAATATTAGGACTTCTATTCATCATAGATGGATATTTTTTTTTTGCCAAAAGGAAGGCAAATGAACTCGCTTAAAGATGATGCCAATAACCCCCTATGCCCCAAAATTGACGAGCGCCTGATTCCACCCCGTCATGACACATCTATCATTCTTTGTGTGCTGTGTCTTGTTAACTTGGACGAAATAAAATCCAATTCTACTTCTACTTTCCTTTCTGTCTTTGGATTGTAACTAACGGTTGGTTATTGAAATTTACAACTGTGGTTTGGTTTGATCTCAACCTTTGCATGTGCACTAAAATTTGATACTTACTAACCACATGACAATTTTGTGTGTCAATTGATTGGCTTTCATGATTTTCTCTGTATAGGAGGTTAATATGAGTAAAAACTCCCTCCAAGAAAGCTGGCCGAAAAAGTCTCGAAAGAAGTTCAGCGAAGATATCAAACCAAAGTTAAATTTCAACTTCAATAAAGACAGCAAAGATGATGTTGACTCGAAGGTCAAGTCTGTTTCAGACAGCATTAAGCTCAACAAGCAGTCAAAAATAGATCCAGTAAAAGAGTCTGTCCAAAATCCTCCTCCAAAAGTGAAAGTGTTAGCCCAAGACACCCAGAAAAATAAAAGTTCTGCTCAGACTCTTCAAAAAGAAAAGATGTCAGTACTGGATCCTGATCAGGAGGAAGAAAAGAGAATTCTCCAGGAAATGGAGGATATTTATGCTGCTGGTCAGAATGAGGAAGTGGGTTAACATTTTTAGTTGTGTTATTCTAAGGTTCCATTATCAGTTCTTTATTCAAAGATTCCGTTGTCGGTTCTTTATTCTGAGGTTCCATTATCAGTTCTTTATTCTAAGGTTCCATTGTTGGTTCTTAAATTAAATTGGGCTTGAAATGGTTGTACTCTGGATTTTAACTTAGTATATAGAAGGCTATTTCACCTTTAAAAGCAGTCAATTTTGTCATTCATTTTTTCAGCAACACAAACTTCCCTACAACTCTACTCCTGTTTAATCTATTTGCATAAGATAAATGCCAAACTGAGAAGAAATGAATGAAAATTGCGATAAACTTTCAGATAAAATGAATTTGAATAGGTTTCATCAATTTTTGTTGTGACTGTAAACAGAGCGATTAACTACGAGCTAATTTCTTTTAAATGAGTACATCAGGTGGACATTTAAAAAATTCTTTAATTTTTTCATTGTTCATTGTGTTTCTTACTTTACCCCTGTCTTGTAAATATACTCATGCATTAAGGTAAATATTGCAGGTATTTTTGTTGAGAGCTCGTAGTCTGATATGGTTTGAGAGAGTATTTAAAATATGTGTACATGTTTATATATGTATGCATACATAGAAAAGTATTTGTTTGAGTGAGTGACTAAGAGAAACTTTAAGAGGAAGGTTTTAAGGTTTGTAATATTGTACGGTTAAAGGAACACATGGACTTTTTGATGGGAATTGAAAAATGAGAAGAAGGTTAGTATGTTTAAAAAGTGGACTTCTATGCCTTTGATGTAGTTCTTTCACCTTTTAATTTTGATAATGGGTTTTAAAAGGTATTTTCTAACATTTTTTTCCGCCTAACTGAGTTCTTGAGAAACAGTTAGAATTCAAAAGATCGTTACATATATGACCTCAAGTTGTATTTAAGACAGGTAGCTATATATAAAATCTGTGAGTATATCCCATGAAAATGGAATGTGTGTGCTAACGTTTAAAATTCCTATAATCTGCTGTATTGAATTGATGCTATGGTGTGTTGTGATGCACTTGTAACTCAGGAGGCGGGTGACCAAGGCAATCCGTACGCCAATATGACCTTTGCCGAGATGATGCTTGTGGCAGGGAAGTTGCCTTCCAAGGAAGATGTGAGTGGTGCTGCATGCAGGGCCAGTGTGCTCACCCCACCCCCCCACCCCTACACACACCCCTTTTTCTTTGGTTTCAAGTTTTGCTTTAGTTCTTATCATATTATTGATTTCATACTGTACTCTTGTGGTAGTGCTATTTCGCAGAGATCTTTTCCCTTCCTTTATACCCTTAGTCTTTACATTGTTTTAGGCAAATACTGTTCTCTCATTTTAAATATTGGAAGGGTGGGGACAGGGGGGGGGGGGGTGCATTTTATTAGGCTTAAATTTATTAGCTTTTCTGTGTAGAAAATGTGATACTTTTAATGTGCCCAATCTCATCTTAACAATTACTTTGGTCGAGTAATCTTTCAGAAAAAAGGAAGCTCACAAAAATAGTAGATACCTTAAGAGGTTAACTCCGTTAAAGATTTTACTTGAGTTAAAGTATAAAAGTATAGTAACTCATTGTAGTAATTTGTAGTCTTCTACCCTTTCTTTGTCCTTTCTGTAGAGATCAATTTGCTTGTCACATCTTGGTAAAGATTTTCAAGGCCTTTATCTCATCAGCAAAGATCTAAAATACTTACTTTTGCCACCTGATGCTATGTGAACGGTGCATATTAATTTTCTCTGTTCTGACATCGTAGTACCTTCTGAAACATATAATTAAATAGGAGGAAACTACATAGATCTCTTCAGGCTTAAAATGCTCAGACATATTCATACGCTGTACTTGACTATGGAAAAAGACTGTCTGAATGTCTTTGGTGTAGAAGACAGTTTTTGTAAGGTTCCTTTCAAGGAATAATATTTTTGTGGGAAAGGAAACGATTTTGAGGAAAATTATGTAATGACTGTTATGTGGCGTAAAGTTTTTGACTGAAAATATCACATTCATTACTCTGCTTTTGACAAATATACTTCTACAAGTGGCTGTTATTTTTTCTGTTCCAGTTCGATTGTGCTAAATACTTATAGTTGAATTTTCCCTGCTTCGTAGCCTTTTCTATGGCATTTAGTGTTATTATTTTTGTTAAGTTACTGGTTTTTGTGTCAATCAAAGCTTGAAAATACCAAAAATTGTTTTGTATTGTGTAAGGCTGGAAAAACTGTTCTTTTGAATAATAATATTTCTGTTTTGTCAAGGATATTTTTAGAAGCACCCTTACTGGGAAATCAACGTAGTGTAGATTCTGACTTATTCACCTAGTCTCTATGTGCATCATTTCAGTCAATGCAAATAAAAATAAATCTTATATGATCGGTTCATCCAATTCCTAGTCTTCAAGAGTTGTGAGAAAATGAAATGAGCTCAAGGCTTTTAGATCTAGACTTTGCTTTTTTATTTTCACTTCCTTTTTTTAATGCTGTATTTTTGCTCCTCTGTCTGATATAATGCATATCTTATGTTTTCTTACTGTTTATTAAAGATGTGTTCATCTTTGTTTAATGGTCCATAATTCCATAGTCTTTGTTTTACAAAGTAGATGAAAAGTTTAAATTTTCTACTGTTGCTGCCTAGCTTTTCTCATATTTTTTATCTCTATCTGAAATCAAATTTTATTCCAAGTGAGGTACTTTTTTTCTGTTAAAACAAAGATGCAATCTTATTCTTATACATGAATATTTTCACATTGTTTTATATAGTACGTTATTTTTGTTTATAGAAAGTCTCAGTACGCATGCTTTGGCTGCAGAGGAGATTTATATTTTTATGGTTTTAACTCCTTAAAATATAATTAATTTAGCATTACTTTTGACGAGTATTACAAGCACTCAAATATCACCTATCATCTTTGGAGCCTTCAGCATATTATGTTTCTTTGTGGCTGGTTAGAACTGTCGTTTCATCACATTGTCAAAATGTTCCATTTGAAGAGGCTTTTTTTTCCTATCCCATCACATTTATGACATTGTTTACACCCGAAATTTTTCTTTTAGGTGTCTTTTGTGTTGTTTTGCTACACTGTGATAAGTAGATGTTCATTTTAGAATTACAGCTTTAGTGTTTTCTTTTTCCAATTATGGGAATATGGTGTGGGGCGCAGTTTTGACAATTTCTTTCAAAGCTTAATGATTTAAAGTGCATCATTTTAATTTTTATTAATCATTTTTTAAAAACCCAAAAAACAATTGGGCAGTTGGAATTTTCCTCAATAAAAATCTTATTTCAGTCAATCTCTGCTTTTTCTTCCTTAGGTTCTTGATGGTCTTGGCCTAGGGCCCCAGGGTCCGCCTCTTCCTCCTCCCGCCTCTTTTGGAGTGATCCCATTCCCCATCAAACGCAGACCCCCACAAATGTCTGAGATGGGAGGCAGATATGTTTTTGTGGCATCATCACCAGATGACCCGTGAGTACTAAGAAGATGCTCTTAAATTGGCTTTCCAGATCTTAGTATACTTTCTACCCCCCCCGGGATGGTGCCACTGACGGAAGTTTCTTTAGGCCATTCCCAAAGGGGGGACATTTCTCATTCATGCACAGTAGAATTGTAAATGGGCTGATTCATTAATGTCACGCTCATAACTGTGCCCGATCTACAACAGGGAACTGCTGCTTTTTCTTTCCTAATACTTACTATTGTCATTTTCCTCGACTTCTTTTATATGTTTGTCACACTTTTGTGACCCACTATTTCCGGGGTGCCTTGACAGTGGAAGCAGACTTTGTGTTGTTGTAGCTAGAGAGTTGAGTAGAGTAAGTCTGATTCCCTGTAAGGACTTCTGTGTTGACATCCACCCCTTGGCATTCATATAACTTTATGCAGTTGCGAGCGCTGTAAAACCTCTACTAAAACTAAAACCTGTGCACTTTCAGTACAGCTACCATTTATTTATATGAAACTTTGAGTAAGTTGCACTAGGGCTGTTTCCTTTACAAGAGTAAACTACTTGAAATATCAGGTGTACCCATATCTTTAAACAGCACATAAAGAAACCAAACAGTGCTTTAACAGTATTATGTTCAGTCTTCCATCTTTACCTAGAGATACTGGGTATCCAGGAAAGGGAAGAGCGAAAGGGGGGGGGTGGAGAGATATATTATATAGTATGATGATACTGTACTGAGGTGTGTTATATAGGGTTTTTTGGTTTTAGTAGAGGTTTTACAGTCCTCGCAACTTCATAAGGTCGTATGAGCACCAGAAGATTAGAGGTGTTACAAGAGAGTAACAAACATAACAAAAGAAGAAGGGGAGATAAGGACAATAGATGTTTGATAGGAAAGAAGAGGCCAACCACACCAGAGCACCGGCCAACCACCCACTTCTATAGTTTGATGAGGTTGTATACACAATGGGGGCATTTAGAAGGAATGCCTTTGGGTACACTAAGTTTCTGGAAGCCCATCAAGGGGGTTGCATATATGCGAACAAGAAGTGGGAACCCCTGCCCCCAATCCCCCTGGCTAAGAGTAACTCCATTTTGCTTTTGTGCTATTTTTCTAGCAACATTGGTCAAGATGACAAGGCTAAAGAAGCTGATGCTGAAGATGAGAGCGCCACAACTCCAGACAAGGGCAAAGACGACCAGCCCACACCCACCAAAGGGAAAGGAGCAAAAGCGGCAGCTGAGAAAGGGCGCACCAGCACCGAAAGCAAAACTGACCGCAAACGCAGCGCAGAGAGGAAGAAGCAACCTAGGCGTAACTCAGCTCAGATCACATCTCCACCTCCAGGACATGCTACTCCAGTTTCTGATGGAGACAATTTGAGGTAAGAAATGAACAGAGGGTTTTGTTTTCTTTCGAAATATCCTGTTTTTATACATATATCTCTAAGAGCAGCAGAGTTTGAATTAATTGTATATCAATTGGAGGAGTGGATGTGTGAGCTGTAGACTATGTAGGAAATGGTAATTTCTATTCTTCCTTTTTCTGAGTGTTGCCTGTATCATTTTAAACTCTTCCCCCCTTAGAGGTTTCCTCTTATACATACTCACATTTATACATTTATACATATTTTACATTAAATGTTTGCCGAGGATGATGTTTGAGACGTGCAAAATACAATGTTTTAAAATGCTTTTATATATATATATATCTTTTTTACCTTGAATTTTGAATGTGCCATGACTCTGTGCAATGTCTTTTCCTGTTTCCTGCTTTCGACGTACCTATAGCTATTTTAAAGTCTCTCTTTCGACTGACCTATTTGTGTTTAGTAGGGTAATAAAGTGGTGTTGAAAAAACAAAAAACAAATACATTGTCCCCACAATTTTGTTTAAGATGCACATCCCGAACCCTTTCTACCGCCTTATACACATAGTTAAATTCTTCATTAATGGGATGCCAGTGCTGAAAACTTTCATTTATAATGAAAGGTCTTTTACTATTATAGTTATCCTGTATTAAAGGAGCAAAGACAGCCATAATACAAAGCTAAACAGTTTTTAATGTTGGATCATTGAACAGTGAATTTAGATTGTTTGCGTGGGTTCTTAGAAACAGACACTCAGACTTGCATACGCTCACACTTACGCAACCACGCCTCGTTGGCAAATGCAAGAATTAAAAATTTTACATTTTTAAAATTTTGCACAGCATTAAGTGAGAAGCTCTTGAAAAAAGGCTCAAGATTTAGAAGGGTTTTTTTTACCACAATCTTACCCACCCTTTAATTTGCCAATTCAAGCTGTCCTTTTATCAACTAGGCACTATGCTTTGCCCCCATTTTTTTTTTTTTTACATCTCCTACCTTGCTCAGGTCACTGTTGCATTGGGTTGTTTTTTTTCTCCTCTGTGTGCAAAAATCAGCTTGATTCTTTACACCCTTTACCTAACATGCAAATTCCTGTTCACTGTAATCTCAATCTCATCTGTTCTCCCCCCCCCCCCCCCCCCCAAGAAAAAAAAAGTTTAAAAAAAAAATCAAGCTGCTGTGTCAGTGTCAAGTCTTGGCTCATTTAGCCCAAAGGGATGTATTTCTACGGCAAATTAGCCCCAGAGTCATCAATCTAATTCTTTTCTTCTGTCAAACATCACGGGTTAACTTTATCAGAAAATTTTATACAAATGAAGGTTATCCTTTCAAGAGGGTGCAAGGAAAATGAAAGAAAATTAAATGTATACAGTGTCTCTTTGGAATGAGTGAGTCAATTATATATTTTTGTGTAAAAATCTGTGTTCTTTAAAATGTTTTAAATAAAGACAGTGACAAAAAGTCACATCCTTTGAATTATCTGTAGAAATGTTGAAAATGAGATGCAAGTATTTGAAAAATGGGGCATGGATTTGCATGTTACATTAATCATTCATGACCATGTAGAAATAAGTTTCTTGAAAGTAAATTTGTTTCATGATTTCATTAGCCGTCCTACAACTGGTGCAGCATCACGGAGCAGGTATGAGTAGGCCAGACCATGCTAAAATCATACCCTATCTAATTTAGTTGTGGTTTACGGTGTTCAGAAGCATTTCAGTTATAATTTCTGAACTTTGTCTATTTTTTCTTTTTGATTTTTTTCTCTCTAAACACATTTTTTAATTTTCCTTAGTTATCCGAAATGTTGGTATAAACCAACTGATAACCTTCAAAGGATATTTACTTAGCTGAGTTTCCCATTATGAGAGATATTGAACATTTTTTGGAAAGCTTTTTCTCCCTGGAAAAGGCTCAAGTTCTGGGTTCTTGAAGTTATGATGTAACGGGATGGGAACTCGTTGAACTCGTTGAACTCGTTGAACTCATGACGGAATTTGTATTGTTTGTTGGGTTGAGATTGATATTGTTTTATTGATAAGTTTCCCAATTTATTTATTTTTTTGGGTGGATGGGGGGGGGGGGGGGGGGAGGATAATTTTGATAGGATGTAAAGGATGGGGTGCAGGGGGTAGAGAATGCAGTCGGTAATGTTTAATAAAGCAGGATCTGTGTATTTGTATTCTTCATTGTCATCTGGGTTATTTATATGTTTGTTTCATGGAGGGAAATCGAATTCTCAGAGAAAAGAGATTTGTAATCTTTTGGGTATGCCTTGTGGGCTTTAGCCTCCCCAGTCAAGATATAAGGAGTAGAATAACGGATAACAACAAAATGCTGGGCTCGGATATTCTTTTGTTTATTGATTAACCTTGAATACCTCTAGCTGCTAGCTGCTGTTGATTGTGAAAAACCAGAACGGGCCTGTAGGGAATAAAAATGTCCTATCAATTTAACAGCAGTCGACTGGGAGTCCAGTCAGCCATCTTGGAGGAAAGAGCCCCTGCGAAACCGTAAGTTTGGCAATAACCAAACTGATTTTCTGTTGTGAAAATCCTCCCTGCCTGATTGTGCTAAGCTTCTGTTCAAGTGGTATCTCAGCATTGTGCCAGTCTCCTGCAAATGAGCTCGGTTTGATGTTGGTCGTTGCTTGCTGTTTAAGAATGTTTTGTTTTTTTAAAATTCACTTTATATATTTAAAGTTATTTTGCTCATCAGCACCCGGCTTTGTAAATAGCTAATTTGCACTGTGTTTTGTCCACATGTTAATTCTAGTTCTGTCTGGTTTGCTTATTTTTACCCTCGCACCTGCTATGATGATTTTTATTTTTGTTCTGGGTTTTTTCTATAGGATACGATAATATAGACCTAATATAAACTTTATCTGCCTATCACTGGAAATTTGTTTCAGCTCTATAAAACTTGAAAACGTACTGGTATCGGACACATTTGCCTTTACTTGAGAAGAAAATACATTGATTTTCAAGTAGTAATGGTCCATTTTAATGGATAAAAATTCTCAAACGTGACAAGAGTGTGTCTTCGCCAATTTCCTATGAGGACACTTAATTTGGGAAATGGTTCATTTCATTTATATGTTCATAGAAATATTGAAAGTTGATACTTTTTTGGGGCTGTCTGATCAGTTTGGACTTTTTCTTCTGATGATGACAGGAAACGTTATTTTTATTTCCTTGTGCAATTTTCAGTATTATTTAGTTTTAATATTTTTATTTTCAGAATATTAGAACACAATCATGAATTGATGGTTGATACAAACTAATGACTCATCAGATTCCCAAACATTTAATGACTCACACATTGTTTTTCAAAAGTTATGGGTCTACCTAAAATTGGATGTTTTTTAAGCTTGTTTATGCTTTTAAATCTTTTTTGCAAACGTTAAAACATGGAGTACAGCTATCCACAAGTACAAATTGTTACCTTTCTCTCTAAGTGGTATCTTGAATTAATGGTTTTCCTTAACTCAAACATGCGTAATTATAAATCAATGATGATAATGGCAAGTGCTAAGCCAGTCCCAATTTCAATTGTGATGGTGATGTGAAAGCTTATGTGCTACCAGTAAACTTGATTCAGAAACCTTCTTTTCTTTTCAAATGACCCTTGCATTCAACATTATTAGGTTGAAATGAGTTTTATGCTTTTTGAAAACAGACAAGGGTTGAAAAATACTCACTAATATAGCATGCTGCATCCTTAATTTTTGTTACCAGTGCACCCGTGGAAAAAAAACCTAATTATTTCATACACATGATGATTTATGTATCAGTTGCTATGCTCTCAAAGGTATTCACCTTTCATCAGAATATGAAAGACTGTCTTAGTGATTTAATTTTGTGGATTCATGCTCTGACATCACTATTTCATATCTCATAATAATATTTATCGACACTAGTACATATACGGTTTTTTTTGTCAGTGTCAGTGTACTTTTTTCACTGAAGTATGACGGGGAAGTTGATAGAGGTGCATATTTTGAAAATGAAACATTTGTTAGAACAAAGACGAATGTAGACCTATTGCTCTTTATTTCTTAGACTGATTTTTTAATGTCCAAAAAGGAGGGTGGATTTTAACATGCAGAAGTTTGGGGTTTGAGTCCAAGTATGGACTAATTTTCACTACTTTTTCTGGGGTTCTTATTCTTTCTCAGCCCTGTCTTCTAATTTGAGGGGAATTTTTTGCTTTAGTAGAGGTTTTACGGCACTCGCAACTGCATAAGGTCAGATGAGCGCCAAGGGGTGGATGTCAACTGAGAAGTCCTTACAGGGAATCAGACTTACTCTGCTCACCTCTCTAGCTTCAACAGCACAAAGTCTGCTTCGACTATCAAGGCACCCCGGAAATAACGGGTCAGAAGAGTGTGACAAACATACAAAAGAAGTAGAGGAAAATTGATGATAGTAAGGATTAGGGGAAAAAAAGCAGCAGTTCCCTTTTGCAGTTCAGGCACAGTTATGAGCATGACATTGATGAATCAGCCCATTTACAATTAAAATTCCACTGCGCATAAGAACTCGAGATATTAATGTCCTCCCCTTTTGGTTGGGAATTATCTAAAGACACTTTAGTCTGTAGCACCATCGGGGGGGGGGGGGGGGGGGATTAGGGTATTGGGGGGAATCCAAGCACTGTGCGTGTAGAATGACGTAAAATGATACTAATGTAGTAGTTGTAGTTTTGTAATTGAACTTCACAATGTCTAAAAAATAGCTTTTCATGGAGTGTCTACAGGTAAAAAAGAGATACTCAAATTTCATTTTGAGTCATTCCCTTTGGTCTGTCAAAAATGGAAAAAGTGTCATTGTAGTATGTCTTGGAACCAATACTGTTGTCTGTCTCCATTTTTAAAAGATGTAGGCGAGTTAAAAGGGGATTCAGGAGGGAAAGTTTGTTGGAATGATATTATTGAAATCTTCTTTTTCTCGGGGATGTGTTGTTCTGAGATCTCATAAGCATGAAATGTTTGTGGTGTTCCAATTTATACACATTTTACACAATACAAATGTTATCTTGTCTTAGTACATTAGGTGTTTGTTCACAGTTGTACAAACAGATTAGATTTTCATCTCTAAGTTACAAAGCATTTTACCTCATGGTTGATTCTAATAAAATATTTAAATGTTGATCTGATCTAGACAGAAAGTTTTCTGATTCAGATATCATATAACCATTTTCTTCCTTTTATCAGTCTAACCATAGGCTTCTTTTTAGTTGAGATATGGAGTTTCACATGCGCCATAGATTGAATTGACATTATAAAGAAAGATCTTAAAAGTATAGTGACAGATTATATTTTTACTCTTGCACGTATATAATTTTACGATATTGCCTGCTTGAATTTGAAGATAAATTTGAAAGGATTATATGACTATTTCTATGGAGGTTTTTAACTCATCATTCAAACGCATTCATTTTGTTGTGTGCTTTTCCTTTGGAAATTCATTCTTAAGTGTTATTTATTTGCTTTTATCTGTAGAACAATATATTCAAGCTAAAAAAGGAAAAAATAGTTCCCTTTTTTTCTGCTGGTTTTTTAAGATGTTGTTCACAATCATAATTGGAAGATATGAATGTTTGATCTTCTGTTGGTTGGCAAATCCAGGGAAAAGTAAGTTGTGATACAAATTAGTTGCAGTAATTCAATACATTCCCAAGTTCTTCTCAAGCTGTGTTGAAAAAATCGTGTGCTGTAATCTTATTGGTTATTTTCCAGGCATTTAAAATAGACTGTAATGCTTTCTGCTTTTAAATTTAGACTGATGTTTCCATAAATGTCTATCTATAGATGGAAATGATAGACTTTTTCCTGAATGTTAAGTCCTCTGAAATACTTTACAGACAATAGTTAAGGTAGAGTTAATAACAATTTCATATTTATGAGTCTGTCTCTTGCTTTATCGTTTGTAGGTAATGCATATCATTTGTAGGTAATGCAATGATTAATCTGATAATTTGCACACTCCGGCAGACTGACCATTTTCCGGTGGACCGTGGCTGCTGGTGGAGAAGTCACGCTCAAGTTGCGGTTCACATCAGATGACCTGGGACAGTTTGACCAGACCCTCAACTTTGAGATTGTTGGCACCAGGCGTAGATACCAGATGTTCTGTCGGGGTGTTTGTGCTTTCCCAACTATCAGCAAAGAGCCGAGGTGAGAGATAGGTTGCTCTGTCTGTTTTCAGAAAGCAGCAGCTCTTGAAGCATTAAAATATTAGTTTACTTACTTTACTTTTGTTTTTCCGATCCAGCGGCCATTTGGGTTCTGGCCCTTCAGTCTGAAAATATTAGTTTAAAAACTGTTGTCTTTTCATCAATAAAAAGAATACTTAAAAATACGGAAAATATTTGGACAAAGTTATAAAATTAAAATCAAAACATCTTTAAATGTCAGGTAAGTTGAAGACCAGCAAAATGGTTGTTTTCAATGAGTATTCCCTCATGTTTCTCTATCACTCTATTAATTTCCTTTGAGAATATTTCCTCTTAAAGCTATGGTCTTTCATAATCTATGAAAACGTTTCTTCTTGAACCAGTGGTCTTTCATAATCCACAGCAATATTTCTTCTTGAAGTTGAAGCTATGGTCTGTCATAATCCTTTTATCTTCCTTCAGGATTGTGTTCCCAAGCAGAAAGAAAAACCGTCGTGGAGATGAAATTGTCCACAAGAAGTACATTTTGATGACAGAAACATTTGAGTTTGGACCACTGTTGGTTGGCAAATCCAGGGAAAAGTAAGTTGTGATACAAATTAGTTGCAGTAATACAATATACTTCCAAGTTCTTAACAAGCTCTGTTGAAGAAGCATGTGCTGTAATTTTAATGGTTATTTTAATTTTTTTAAATACAACATACTGACTTCCTTGTTTGTGCAACAATAATCTCCTAAATTTTTCCATAATTCCATTAGTGCTTCATGTATTTTTCATTTTTCAGATTGAGTAAAATATGTGTTTTCTGTTTTGATATTTAGGTATCGGGAAGGAAAATATCCTGAAAACATGGAGACATTCACAGTGTTAAACACTTCGCCGTTGGAAGCTGACATCAGCTTCTGCTTCCTGCATGACAGCAAAGCTGAAACCTATCTCCTGGAGCCTCCCACCATGCTGCTGAAGCCAGGAGAATCAGACAAACTCACTGTGTGGGCGTATCCCAAAGGTACAGTCAGTGTACTGTTATATTGTCAATGGTTATAGTCATTCAGTATCTGTCTTTTTGAAGAAGGTCCCATTTCCTGTGTCATGGTTGTGGCATTTCAATACAACTAGTTTTCATTTATTTTAATAATACAACATTTTGTACAAGCCTTTCCTTCAAAATTCCTGGTGGGGACTAGTAGAATTGAAGGTCAGTAGAGCTATTTAAGGCAAAAGAGGACAAGCTAACAAAATTGAAATGCATGAAGGAATGAATTAATAAATGATTAGATAGATGAATAAATAAATGAATAGATAGATTGATAGATAGATAGATAGTACGGAAATTTGCGTTACAATGACAAACTACATACAACACAACATAATCAAACACACAAATATAAATAAACGAAAAGAAAACCAAAAGCACAATAATATTTTGGCAACAGAAAAAAAAGTATGTTATTTATATTTGGGCATAGATGTCAGAGAAGGGTAGTGATCAGTGGTGTATCTATTTGATTTGACACTTGTGAACAGTAAAAAAATATGATTACATGCGCAGTGCATTTGGCTATGAGCTAACTCAGCATCATGAAGTTCAAGGTTTGAGTCCAAAGAGTCTCTAAATTTTTTTTGTCTTCCCTGGAATATTTTCTTTCAGCCGGATATCATGGCTGTCATAAGACTAAACACTATCTTTCAAAGTTACCTCGCCGTGTCCTGTATCTACAGCACAAACAAACCAGCAAACTAAATTCAGCCATCCTTTTTAATTTTTAAAACATTTTTCCAGATGAATATAGGTTGTATCATTCTGTCTCTCATTTTGAAGTTTATAGTAGGCTCTACAGTAGTGAAGTGGTTTTATGTCATGAAAAATGAGGTTTCTACAATGTTCCAAAAGAGTAGAATTCATTCTGGTGAATATGGAATTAAGATAAGCCAATTTGATCCCTGAAAAATTTCTTAGATTTGGGACCTCGGAAAATCTTGGATGTTAATACACCAAGTCCAGAACTTGAACATGAACTGGAACCAGGACCAGAAGCCAATCCAGAACATGAACTTGAACATGAGGTGGAAGGGATGGAAGAGTCTGAGGACAGATTGGAAAAGGAAGTCAAAGATGATGAAAATCACCGAAAAAAAATTAGCAAAATCAAGATGTGTCCATCAAAGCCTCGTGAGGAACTGTTTCAGTGACTGGTTTATCGATATTAAACTTTTTCTGTCTTTTTGTTGGTTGTTATAAAGGCCATTTGATTTTGTATTTTAATTTTATTTGTATTTTGACGGGTTTTTTCAGTTCTATGTTTAAATAAGTCTTTATTTCATATTGATAGTTGTTTTTTTTAAATTCCTTTTTTGGCAGAGTTAAATATTTTTTCCTCTTGACTGTTGTTGAGTTGAGATCACAGCATGTTAGTGTGATAATGGCCCTTTTTTCAGAAAGAAGTTGTGTCACTGAAGAAGAAATATAAAAAATTAACGGATTAAACGCCCTCGAGCCAACTAAGATTAGCTGTCTCTTTGAATTTATATTTATTCAAATATCTTCAAAAGTTTGCATTTTATTTTGCTTTTTTTTTCGCTTGGTCTGAACTATCTTTTTATCAAATACAGGGTAGTGCTATGCTATGGTGTTGTACTTCAACATTAACGGAGTAGAATAGAAACAGTGCTCAGCTCTCTACAGTTTCGCTTCTGATCGCAGTTTTTGAAAAACCTCAACAGTCACACATCTCTGGAGGACACGGTTGTCTTATTGAAAGAACATTCTCTTTTGGCAGGCCCTGGTCACTATGAGGATGCTGTGGTGTGCTGTGTTCGTGAGAACCCGGAGCCCATTGTGTTCAAGCTGTGCTGTGATGGCTTCAGACCAGAGCTGGAGGTGGACAAGAAACAACTGCACTTTGATAGAGTGCTCTTGCACAGGTAGGGTTCATTATTGCAAAAGTAGTCATTGCGGTAGAGCGTCACATTAAATTCCTACTGCCCATTTTCTGCAGGAGAGCGGCCGGTACTATTTACAGCAAAAATTATGTTCATGTTTCTATGGTCTTATTTGATCGATGGCATGGTACAAGAATTAACAGGAAATCTCTCTCTCTCTTTCTCTCTCTCTCTCTCTCTCTCTCTCTCTCTCTCTCTCTCTCTCTCTCTCTCTCTCTCTCTCTCTCTCTCCCCCTCCCTCCCACACTCAC